CCTCGAGTTCTTCGCCCTTTATCCATTACATTTTCTTAATCAATGATGTATCCTCGGGAACAGAAATTTGCATAAAATTAGAGATAAGGCAAGTATAATATTATATCACACATACATGTAGTCAAATAATTAACACCATCCACGCTCGAATTCATCATCAACGCGATCGATTTCCCGTGAAAACGTCAGCAAAGGCGGCGCCTAATGTGGAGGCTAATTACACAAGCGATCGCAGAGATCCGTCAACACTCGGTGGGTAGTGTCGCGACGATAGTGTCGTCGAAGGGAGGAAACGATTTTAATAATCGAACGCGACCACCGCGGCCGGACCGGTGGTGGTGAGATTATCACGGCGAGACGATCGGCGCTTGGTGCTCCCGTAATTTGTGTTTTCGTTATTGCGTCCGATTCCTGTTCCTGGCCGAAGGCACGGGGAGAACAACGACGGTATCTGGTGTCGCGGAGCAGCCGAGAATGCGAGAAACCTCCGCCGGCCCGTGTGGAACAGGTTCTTCGTTTTCCGGGGGTAGATCGGTGTTCGCTTGTTACCGCGAACAAAGAAGAAGAAGAAGAAGAAGAAGAAGAAGAGGAGGAACGGTGAAAAACGAAGAGTCAAGGAGGCACGAGACGAGAGGGGGACAACGTGCAGCCGGTGTATGTAAGTGTGCGTGCTCGAACACCAGGTTAAAGGTGGACGTGTGTAGAGAACGCACGAACACCAGCACGTACGCGCACTAATCGTATCGGGCGAACTTGTTGGAATTAATTGGTCCGGCCAATTAACGCTCACGGCCTGAAACGCGTCGAGGGCAATGAAGGCGCACGATTGGCCTGCTCCCCGCCACCCTGCGAACGCTCGATATCCTTTGGCAGCGAGCTCGCTTCCTGCGAGGACCCTAATTAATTTCGACTCGCGATCGTTCGCAGAAAATCGAACGGCACCGCGGCCCGACTGCGACAGAGGAGTACGGATCGGCGTCACTTCTCTCCGTTCGATCGCTATCAACGTCTAGATCCCGAGATAGGTTTCGCGAGAAAGTGCTTCTGGCCTCCTGATAGCCCTATCGATCGATCGCTTTGCCATACCGGGACGAAGTTCGCCGCGTTTCGAGTCATTAGGCAACTTGCGAGTATTTACTTATGCGGAGGATTCAACCCTCTTGGTTGTCTTGCAATTTTTCTACGTTTATTCTTATTCCGGGATTATTCTTACACACGGTTTCTGACCGTGATAAAAGCGAGAAACGTTCGATTTGATGGCTATTGTAAGTATCAGCAGATCGTGCAATGTAATAATATTCGTGGTAATGTACACTTCCATTCAGAAGTTTGGATGTTGAAATCAACTTTTTTCGAAAAGTATAAGTTTAAAAGTATCATTTCTGAATATGATTAATTGCAATTTCACGGGGAATATTTACATCGTAAATGAGATATTTATACCTATTCAAGAAAGTTATTATTTCTTTTGGATGAAATCAATTTTTTTCGAGAAATATGAGCATCATCTACATCGTACATAAAATATTCACATCTACTCGAGAAAGTTATTACTTGTTTTGAAACTTCTCAAGGGAGTGTATTATCAAAGTCTATTTTCAAAATCTCAATCCTGTATTTTAAAACGATCATTTTGCACAACTTTGAACATCAATCCAAACACTCGCGAGTATCACTTTAATAACCGCAAGAGGTTGATGGGAGAAAGATGGCGTTCAATCGAGAAACCACAGGATGTTTCACGAAGCAGAAAACAGACCTCTTTCTCCTTTCCGTGCGGAGGAAAACGTTGCATCCCGCGATAACTCGATTATTATGGAACATATTGATTCATGTACGCTGCACGAAGCCGGGGAGCAAAAAGCGAATTTGAATCGGCCGGTAAAACAATGAAATAACGATGTAATCTTCAATGACAATGGATGGCATAACCGGCCGGAGTCGCGCGTTGTCCGCTTGTTAACGATGAAATATTACGTATGTACGGCAGCTGTCATCTTACTTGTCCTTTGACGGCATATTTATACCGGTTTCACCCTGTTCCGTGGCGGCCGATCGCGCCGATAACGTATGCCCTTCGCTAATGCAACTCGCGGCTCAGGCGCTTTTACGCTCCTGAATTCGTTACGTCCTAGACGTTGAAAACGCGACGATTCCAAACGTGCTACATCTCTTACACGCAATGAATATTAAAATGTCAATCAATTTTATATTACAAATATTCCTCTTTATTTTAATTTGATTTTAATAGTAACACGCAGGTACACATATTACTATCTTTTATTAAATATAAGTAGTCACAACTAGATTGCAGATTTCTATGCATTCATGGGACATTTAAGAATGCACACACTGGTGGCAAAGGAGATATGAGATATCGGAAGTAGAGTTGTAATATTTAACAATGGAAGTAGATTTTATTTATATATTGTAAAATATCCGCAGTCTATTTCCAAAGATTACTGACTTACAACTCATAAACGATTATTTATCTGATGAGAAGAGAGAAAAAGCAGCGATCGAGCCATTAACTAAAAACTTGTGTCGTTGCTTTACTATACATTTTCGATTTATCCAACTGATTCGTCGCATGCGGTACACGAAAGACACGATGTTTCGTTAGTGGGGGAAAAAAATTGTTTAAATAAGAGAGAAAAGAGAACGTTGTGACACGCGTGTAAGGTTAAAAGCACACTTCTTTTGCGAGACAATCGAACCGGAAAGGTTCGAGACAATATGGAAGTGAAGTAGCTTATCGATCGTGCACGCTTGATCGACATGCATCGAAATCCTTCGCGGGTCTAACAGACTGTCTTTCGCGGCACATTTATGCCGTGTTCGCACCGTGCATGACGTCCGATGGACCGATAACCGGCGCGCGCGCTAATACTCGCAATCAGAAACAGAACAGGATTGGGAATCGGTAATCAGGATCGACGTTTGCGTTCTCCAGGAGGCCATTACTCAAAGATCCGACACACGGAGAAAAGAGGTGACACGTGACGATTAAACGCGCGTTACCGAATTTCTCATTAACCTATCGTGTTCGCTGGTACACATTTATCAAGAAAATATACACCCGTCTCCATATCGATTTCTTTGATTCTACTTTCCACTAGACAAAACATGGAAAAGGACAGACAGTTCATTAAGCTCTTAGCTGTGGTGCCGCTTTTAAAAGTATCTACATTGTGTCTCTAGAACGATTACACTCGTCAAACATGGAGTATGTTGCAGCTGCGAGTACGCGAAATTGAATTAAATTATGAAGGAAATGACACTAGTTTTTTTTTTTTTGGAAAATCGATAATTTTATTGTTTAACTTAATAATAATTAATATTAATAGCAAGAAAATGTTTAAAAACGATGTAAAATAAATAAATAGTCTCAAAATATTTTAAAATGTCTAAAATTTACAAGTATATTTTATTTTCCACGAAAAATTAAATTTTAGCAACAAATTGTAATTACTTTCGTCGCATGACGAAAAAAATTGCCATTTCCTCGCGAGTATGCTCGTCATTCACAGCTAAGAGGTTAATGATCTACGTCTGACGAATTAATTCCGGATCCATTAATTGTGTCCATCAATAGACACATCGAAAACGAAAATTTAAATCATCGCGAGCAAACCGTCGGGCAGAAGCAAAATGAAAAGAGACGAGAGCGGAGGAAACTGTTACGGCAGTGGTCGGGTTTTCGATCGAGCCACGGAGTCAACTGCAGAAAAACACGAAGTGAGAAGAAGAAATGGCGGATCCGTTTACAACAAGGTGCTTCGCCTACCGGATAATACATAAGGGGTATTAAGGCCGCTACTCAATTGGGTATGAGCTCACAGAGAGGTGGACGTCTCAATTTTCTTCGCGACTTAATGACCGATCGTTAAAACCCGGCTTCGCCTCGAACCGGCTCCACGAGAACCGACAGGATGAAACGAGACGAAGACACCCGGTCCACCTCCCGGTCTTTTTACTCGCACCCTCGTACACATACACACCGGGGCAATTCTCGTCGTTCTAACGTAATCGCTGGCTTTCTGTCGTAATGACGTTCATAAGTATCGAGACGCTGCCGATTTCACTTCACGACCTCACTTCGCTCGTTATCGAACACTGTAACTACATACGAACTATCGCATTTTAATTTTTTTAAATAATACTGAATTTTATTTCTCGTGTCTCCCCTCCCCCTCCCATTTCCACCTCCCCACCCCACCCCTCCCTCCTTCTGTCCTTTTTCTTTTAATTTATTCCGCATCACTGTTTCTTATTCAGATACGTATTATTTAACGATCCGGATTATGGTAGTGCCGCTTCGAAATAACACGCTGCGCAATGTTCCGCGTCATAAATTTTTAATACTCAGATGGCGCTGCGCACTATATATCTCACGGTTATTGCGACGAAAGATTCGAATGTCGCATTACGAATTTATGAGATCGGCTAATTTTATGATTATTAAAGCTTGGCTTTCATTGCCTGTATCGGCTGTTCGAATTATCTGCGAACGATATTTGCATTCGATCGATTTCCAACATTGATTTCGCTCAATTTGATCGCATCATTGCGACATACCACAGTTACGATACGAATTACTTTACTTACGAGAGAAAGATGACCTCGAACGTTACTCTGTTGCGATTTTTCTTTACCCCGGATTGCCGTGCTGTTGTTCTGGTACGGCATTCCCGTCGTCAAAGATGCTGGAACTATTTTTATCACAAAATTACACACCGTAACGAACAACGACTTTAACGCGGCACCGAACAATTCAAACTGACCGTTTCATACCGAACTCGCCCTCTAGTGGAACAGGACTTAAACGATTTACCCTCTAGCGCTACTTAATCTGCAGTTGATACATCATAGTTTACATTCTACAGTCGATATGTTTTTTTCCTCTAACGAAAAAAAAATAAATAAATAAATTTAAAAAAAATAAATTTAAAAGAAAGGATAATTGCAACATTTACATTTTTTACAGCAACAATTCAAGTTCATAATCTTAAGTGTTCATTGAAGGCTCAAATAATTGCGGACGAGCTTGGTTGCATTTCCGTTAGTCGAATTTCTGGCGCGCTGCGCGCACGTCCCTTTCGCAATTCCCTTGTTTCTTCAGTTTCAATTTCTCGAATTGTCGTATTCGCATACTTTTTCAAGTTGTCTGACCGAATTTTTGACACTAATTTCGTATCTTCAGAATTATCAACAGGATTTTCACTATTTGACGATTTGGTAACTGACGATGTGTTATTAATTCCATTTTCACATGAACTATATATAAAAAATATATCCGGTTAATTTTTAGAAAAAAATAGGATGCGAAAAGGAAAATATTAAAAGAAGATAGAAAATTTATATTAAAAAAAAAAAAAAAAACTAATATATTGATGTCTATTACGAAACATATGATCTTACTGAAACGGTAGCCATTTTGTAGATTCCTTGCTATATCTTTTCTTACTTTGCGCCGCTAATTTTGCAATAATTTTTGCGTCTACATTTATCGACTTCGGTTTTTGCATGCAACTTTTTAATCTTTCAATATTCAGTGTTAAATGTTGTATTTGCACTTTAAGCGTCGCGTTTTCATGAACTAATCGAGCATTTCTTTGTACCACCTGAGAGTCATGATACAATTTTTTTTAATAAAAAAAATATACAATATTATACAGCTAAGCAATAACTACAACTCGATTCTAGCTTTTTATGAAATTCACCTGTAAAAATTTTGCTTTACTCAAAGGCAGAGGGTCCTGAAACTTTTCAGATACAATTATATTGAGTTCTTCTCTTGCTTCATCTAGTTTCTCCATCATGTCAGTCATTACTTGAAGGTGCTCCTTTAGTAATTGGTTAAATTTTTGCCTCAACGAATCCTTGGCGTATTTCATTCGCAAAAACTTTATACATAAATTGTACGTTGTTTCTACTTTCTCGTTTAATTCTTCTCGAAGCGACTTATTCTCATCTTCTAAACATTCTTGTACAACCTCTAATTCCTTTCTTTGTTGAGATAACTTCGAGACATTAAGTCGCGTTTTCTGCCGTTGTATTTCACTGTTGAAGAAATCCTTTTCTCTCTGGTAGAAGAACCTGTCATCGTCCAACTGCTCTACAATTAAGTCGGTACATTTAAGAATCGCAATGAACTTGAACGAAGTTTCTAAAAAGCTTACGTTTGAGGTTCCTGATGTATCTTTGTTGTTTCTTCAATTCAACCGACAGTCGATTATTATCTCGTTGCATATTTTGCAATTGCACATCCTTTAATTGTATAATATTCTCTAATGATGTGATTGTTTCCTTTAGGTCTGTCACCTTCCAATTATACGTTATAGAATCATTGATTAAGTACCAACATAAAGTGACTCAGTAATTAGGTAATGAACTTACTTGTTGACATAAATTTATTAATTCCTCGTTGGCAATTTGACATTGTGTACTTGAGCAAAAAATCTTTACGTTTGTGCCCTTGTTCAAACTGTTCTTAGAACTAATATTCTGCATATCATAATAGCGAATATTACGTTCTAACAATGAATAATAAAATTCTCTTCAGCATCACATCAAAATATTTTGCGTTCTTAATTTCATTGACATTTCACTTACCTCAATCTAGTAAATTTTTAAGTTCTATCTGTTTGTAGACAATCACAGGATTCTTTTGATAAAATAGACTGATGTATCTCTCACACGTTAAAGATCATTAACATGATGTTTGTATTTATTTCCTCGAGGATTGTATGAACAAGCAATTTCTTTCCCTCACATAATGACGAAAAATCATTTTCATTGAATTATTAGATATCTTTGATTGTATTAATAAATGACAAACGCTTATGTCACAAAACTTTTTAACCTACGAATGCCTAATTTTTCCTTTATCAGGAAAGGCGTTTAAATAACGATTACATCATGCAATACTGATTAAAAGTTGTGAAATTTTTTATTGTATCGTATATGTACAAAATAGGTGTACAGACTACTTATCAATCGCATGGGCGTGTTTTATACACGCTTTACATATGCTTTTTTTCGCATGTAACACCGATGTAAGAGCATCACATTGTGTAGTACACCTGTGTAAACCCATCTTCTGTTATCTTTCATCAAATGGAATGAATGTCGAGATGACGTGTAAATGTTTTTTTTTTTTCCTTTAATTCTGTTTTTTACCCTCTTTACAATCATTAATAACATTCTAGCATATAAGAGTTCTGTCACTATTACTCCTTCCCCATCTTGTACACACGAAAATAATAAATTACACTGGAACGTTATCTTTGAAATTTGTTTTTTTTTTCTTCTTAAAGAGCATGATAAATTCATTTTTTCCTGTGACTCGCGTTTACATGTCTATATTAGAATAATGTACCTTCGCGTTATTGGAAGTGTCGATGTGTGGCATTGGAGAAGACAAAAAAGGAAATAATATGAATACATCTCACTGTAGATCTGTCCGCGCCTTCCACTTAATTTAACAACTGATACAAATATGTTCAGCTTTCTCCCCACATTAATTTCTAAAAACCGCGATAATTTAGTGATATTCATCGTATTTTTTTTCTTTTATTTAATGTTTTTACACGTAATCGGTCCTCAGAAGAATGCCCTCTGAACTTTGAACTCCATAAAATTTTGTCAAAAAAATAATTTTCGATTCACATTCTTAAAATCCCATAGAGTTTGTTTAATATGTTTTAAAGGTCATTCCTCTAAGGCATTTCAAAGAAGGATGTTAAAAGATATTCCACTTTCTGTTCGTTATATAACTTAATTAAAATTTTCATTAACCAAAAACATGCGACATTCTTTATAAAGTATAGAGCATTATTATTTTATAATAATTCATTGATTCAATTATGTTATACAAATGTGGAAGGCAACGTTTGTCGTCTGATAATCTGGTGAAACGATACTAGATTCGCAAAAATGCGGATGATAATGATGGACTTACGCTTATTAGCCTAACTTAAAAGTTTGTTATATTTCCATATTATTAAGGCTCATGCTTATTTTTTCTTGTTCTTATTAGCTTGGTTTTTGTATTTGGCTGCAGTTGTTAATTTGGTCTTCTTCTTCTTGGGTTCATCTTCATCATCTTCTTCATCTTCTGGCTCCTGATATATTAAAATAACAAATAAAACACAGCTATATAAATTTTTGCAAATTTTTAAGCACTACTATTACATTGGATAAATAGATACCTAGATACGACATTTTATTTTATAAAAGATTGTATTATTTACTGACATTCTAATATATTTCCTTTTCCTGTAATACTAAAATTATAATTCAAAAATAAAAAAAAAATGGAAAAAAAAGGAAACATGATAAGTAAGGAACAAAATCAACTGTTTTAAAATGAGACGATTTATTCATTTGTAAAAAAAAATGAGACATGGAATGAAAACACAAACGCAGGAAGTTATAATCCACGACTGTCATTTATTCCTCAATCCTCAGAGCCCTCCCGCCCCCCCAGGTAAAATTTTAAGTCATAAACAAGACTTTAATATAATCTTGTATATTATAAAGTTGTTTTTTCGAGGATTGAATAGCAGCATTTTAATATTAGGATTCTATTTGTCTACAGCTTCATCCATCTTAGCACGCTTCGTGCCATTTTTTTTACCCTCTGCAGAATGCTTTCTTTTCTTTTGTGGTGCCTGAAATTTGTATTCCTAATATATAGAAAATGAAATACTATCACTTTTGTTAATATACATAATAAAAGCATAACAAGGATCATTAACTCTTCAATCGAAAATATTCTGCATTTTCCTTATGTCAATTCTCAAAGAAATCTCATACGAGCCTAGTTAGAATGTCAGTTATTAATACAACCTTTCCTCTAGTTATAATTTTTGAAATAACTTTTAATATGTACATATACGTTCATACAATTAACCTAAAAATGTACCTACCTTATCATCATCATCATCATCATCGATGTTCTCCTCTTCCATTTCATCATCCATATCATCAAACTCCTCCATGTGTGTACCTAAAAAATTCAAATTAATATAATTATTTATTTTTAATTTAAACTTAACTTTTTTAATTTAAAAAAACAGATATAATAGCCTTGTCAAATTATTATAAAATAATTATACTTAAACAAAAGAATTTTAAAATACATATTTTCTTAAATTTAATTTTTTAAAATCTTGTTCTTCAAATACTTTTACAGTTCGAAATTCTATTTAAATTTACTGTATTGCCATTACCACACTCGTAGAAAGGCGTCCAGTTGCAATTATCGCCCTTCTCTATATATTTAATTTTAATACAATTAAATATTAACAATAAGTAACTAAGAAAAATAGAGTTAATAAATATATAGATATAGTTAAACATGCACTCTATTAGAAATAATTGAACAAATAGCACATTATATTTTTAATCATTGATGAATAATTGTCATAAATTCAATATATTGCAATAAATAACATTCATTCTTACCAAGTAAATTATGTCCTACTATGTGAACAGGACCACTTCCTTTAACCAAAGTAAATGTGACTGGAGGATCAGGAAAACTGAGATCCAGAATAATCTGTGCCGTTTTTCCCATCTCCAGCAAAGCAATTGGTGCCTTAATGGGTCCTTTTAAACCCATTGCTTCGACTTGTAGTACATTCAGTTCACCAACTTTAGCCTCTGGACCTAGAAGAGCCTATAAAATACACAATATACATGTATGTATGTATATGTATACATATGTGTGCATCTATACACACACACAAAAATAACAAAACTTGTGTAAAGTATTAGTAAAAAGTAAGAATTACAACTGTGCATAATTATCATATACTTTCATTAAAGATATTATCCTATCTATATAGAAATTAGACTTCTATTTTTCAATCAATTATAGGTTGTAATTACTATGTACAATTATGAACACTTCTATAAAACAAAAACCTTGGCAAACATTCCTACTCTGTATACGTTTACAAACGTTGGAAAGTTGATCTAAAATTAGCGAATATTTCCATATTGAAATATACGTGAATAATACACATTGATCAAACAAATATCAACATCACAGAATTAGCGTGCTTTCGTTTCTTGGAAGTTCGGAAACAAGAAGAAAGTTATCTCACGGAATGAAAGTAAAGAACGAAGGCTACGGTGAAAAATACATTAGCTTCGCATCGTAATTAAAAATTCGCGCGCAAACGTGTCGGGAGGTGATGAGAGCGCTCGAAAAATCGGGATTACTAGCGACGCCGAATATTGGTCATATACTTTGCACGGTTAATAGACACATATATGAAGTATGTAGGAAGTCGTTGATAAAAATGCAAGAACTTCGTGTCAAAATAATCGTGGATCGAATAAAAGGACTATTCCCTTGTGTGGGATTGCACATTTACAAAAATCCGTTACTCTGAACGGAACACAATGCAAAGCAACCGATAATGCAACACAAAGTAAACGTAATGCAACGTATCAAACAGCGAGAGAAACATAACGCAAATTCTCATCACAAGTTTTCATCTGTATCTTTTACTTACCATTTTTATGATCAACTTCTGATCGGCACCGAAATGTTGGTTCGTGCCGTCTGCATCGTCGTTCTTGTGCTCCGGATCCCATACTTCGCTAGAATTGACTCCCTCCAACGTTATTCCTGGACACAGAAATCACAAATGTACGCACACGGAATATCGTAAATGCTTGCCGTTGTACTGTAGCTTTATAAAAAAAATCAAGTTCGTTAGCTCCTTAGGGGACAATGGGGGCTCGTCACAATGGCCGAAAACCAACCGGCGTCTCGACCATAATACCGCCCGCGTCGTATGGCCGATGCTGACGAAAGTAATCGCGTGCTCCATAAAATAAAGAAGCCACAACGTTCACGATAACGTGACTTCTGATATTTACCATAAAGATATTCTTCCGCCATGATGATCGGTTTAATATTAAAGGATTCGTGTTAGAAGGACTCCGTTGGAGTGTGCGTGCCGAACGAGAGTAGAGAAGCTAAAGACGCCGCGCGCACAACGGTCACTGCGCAAAGAACAGTGGTCGCACGTGCTAGACGAACGCGTAGTAAATGAGTTTCGCGTACTCAGCCTTACGCGCCTAGAATACGTTCTTCTCTTTGATTGGTCGATGCACTTTCAACTACCGTCAACAACGTTGCCATCTAACATTACGAACTACACTTAAAAATTTTCCAGGGTTATTATTCATATATGAAACGTGAAAGAAATGAATCGAATAAAAAATGCAACTGTTTAATTTTCGTTTTTTTAATCGTTATTTTTAGCTGGCAAGTTCGAAAACCGCACAAAACAACAAAAAATTAAGCATATAAATTATTCCTAAACAGCAGATGCAAGTACTGTATGTATATTTGATGCAACCATGGAAGATTTAATCAATGACTTTTAACGTTTTAGTGAAACACTGAATTTTCTTCAAAACAGTGAGAAATACAAATATGTTATTACAAACTTTGATTCCTTCTCCATAAAAAGAAAATAACAAAGAGATTCGGCATCGCACATTTATGAATGTAAATTTTTTTCTGTTGCGTACACCAATCTCGAATGTTCATTTGAAAACGATTAATGATTGTAATATGATTTGAATGAAAAATCTGGCAACGTCGTGCTGAACGACCATTGGTCTACGTAAACCCTGGTGGTAAGGACACGAAACTAACATTGACACACTAACTGCATAAATATCAGACGCAACACGTGAATAATACTGAAATTGAACAAAAGCGCGATGAAAGAAAGTTGTAGAAAAATCGCCAAATTTCTATAGTACAATTAATAAAAAGTTGTCAAGAGATTTGCGATAATTTTATAAAAAGTCACTGTCGTATCTTGAGAAAAGTCGTAGCCCTTGGTCGAGCACAGGAAAAAGATGAGAATACATGCCAATATGATCATACTGACTTGTTTACTTTTATTACCAGCAGTTTTCGGTAACGGTGAAAAAAATGAAACGACATTTGTGCCAACTCGAGAATGGCAAACTGTAAAAAAAGGTAAGCAAACATTTATTCAATTGCATTCTACGTGTGTTTTGGGACTACTTTTTTATGCAACTAATCCTCTTCTTAGACCACGTCAGTCAAATTTGACATCGCGATTTCTTCGAGAAAGTGAACTCCAATATTCGGACCTTTACTATTATGCGAGCCTACTAAGTTTATAATAAAAAAAAATTTTATATCAATTTTTTTATTTATTATTGTTTGAAATATATTCGATCCATTGAAATACGATATCTTATAAATTATATACAGCAGTGACGTATAGAGAATTTTATTTAAAGGTGCAAATAGATTCAGCATTTACAAAAAAATATTATTTATTTACAGACAAACATCAAATTGTTTTCTTGTCGTATTAACCTTTTCTTTAATTATTCATTAGGTACACCTATACCTGGAGGATTACATGTCCGACACAATTTTCAAACTGGAGTTACAGAAGCTAAATTAATGGATAACGAAGATGTGGAAGAAAAGGATTCAAATGAAAATATGAACAGTTCAAATACAAGTTCTCTAACATTACATCCTGAAAAGGCAATTTTTGAAAATAAAGATCCTGTACCTACTGAGAAATCTGATATATTTAATCACCCGATCGAAGAATTAAAAGCTAGATTGAAAAAAATTAAACAGGATGGTGGAGAAAATATTCCAGAACTAGATGTAATTGCTCTTAACTATGATCAATGTATAATATGTAAGGAATAACTCTCTAACTCCTTAAATTTCTATATTTTTAGGATGAACACACTCAACAAATAAAGAAAAAATTTAGAGATTATGAAACTTTAAAGAAGGAATTCAAAGCACTTGAAATAAACATTACTACTGATGCAGGATTGATAAGCAGCTATTTTCAAAAATTTCAAGTTCATAAAAATGGAATTACTATGGGTACTTTAACAACTGCAGAAACAGAAGAAATTTTAGATATTTTGTATAATTTGGAGTACCTGCTTCATCATATTGATAATGCCAAAGTTTTTGCTGACATGCAAGGGTATATATAATAACGTTTTTTTCTTCTAATAAAATATCAGCAATAGAACAATTTTCTTTCATGGTTTCTTAATTGCAGCATGAGTAAAATTATATCTCCCTGCCTTAATGGGACAAACAATGAAATAAAGGCTGAAGCTTTGAGACTTTTGGGTGCAGCTGTTCAGTCTAACCCCAAAGTACAGTTAAAAGCACTGGAAAGTGATTTTGTTCAAAAACTTTTACATATCTTGTCTACGAATAATAAAGTGAAAGTAAAATCAAGATGCCTCTTTGCTTTGAGTGCCCTGATAAGACAGTTTCCAGCGGCACAGAAAGTGTGGATTGATCATGGGGGAGTAGAAATATTTGGAAAAATTTTGATTGACGATCCATTACCAATACAAATGAAAGTTATGACACTGATCGATGACTTAATTATAGAGAGACAGAACTTACAAGATATTACTGATACTAAACAGCAACAACTGAAAATAAAAGCCTATGCCACAGCTGATATTGAGAAAAAATTAACATATGAATATTGCAATCATTTGATTAATCTTATGATATCGAGCTTCAAAATTGATATAGATGAGAGGAGAATCAATTATGAATTTCTAGAAACTATTTCTAATAGTGTGAGTACTGTTGCTCCCATTTGTATTAATCAGTGGAGAGAAAGAGACGAATTACTTCCAATTTTGAATGTGTTGCATACATTCAATAGACATGAAAATTTACACGTAGTAAGAGACATGCTTCTCAAAAATTCTCACGATGAATTATAGACAGAAGGAAAAGATAAAGATAAAGTTACCTAAATATTCATTAGGACTGAAGTTCGATATTTATTTTGAGTCGTGTAGATATAATTGTACAAAGTTTTGTGTGTGATAAAAGTCTTTTAAGATGAATACTTTGAATATTAATTGTGAATATTACACGAACATTGTCCTCAAGTTATTACCAGTCTTAAGGAATGCATGTATGATGTATCATAAGATACATCAGTATGTATATATGTATACGTATATAGTGTGTATGTATATATGCAAATTATAAAATTATCTGTACATATAGTAAATAAGAAATTTCAGTTACCCATCTAGAAAATGTATAGCGTTGTTTTTTTATGTTTTAAAAAAATTATTTAATAAATTATTTTTTACAGTTTATACGCGTGTTGTTTCATAAAAAAAAAGAAAAAAAATAATTTCAACATCTGTATTATAGAATAAAATACTTTATTTACAAGTAATAATGATTACATATGAACAATTTTCTCATGAAGTCATAGTTTATAGAAAATATATTTGCCAAATCGCTGATTAATACAACTTTGTAAATTCCAAATTTCTATTTACATGTGCTTAAAAAAGACGCTCATGCATCAACAGTTTTGTTGTCAAAGAATAATCCTTTAAGTACAAGGATTGTTTTGTTTGGTTTATAAAACTTGCACCTTTAATACAGGAGACTATGGAGAATAGATGGAATCTTCTCCGGTTCAGTAACTCATCTTACTTTGTAACTTCTTTAAAATAGTCGAGTTCACATAAACTTTAAAATTTTATTAAATGCAATGATCCTATATCTATATACCGATTTTATGTACTTTTTGTATATTACTTCTGCTGTGATCTGATATACAAACTTGTTCACGTTCATCTTTAGGAATATGTTATTTGTTATTTTCATATTTGTTGTTAATAATATGGTTAAGAGTTCGATACATTATTTACATTTAATTATAGGAACTTAAAATATACATCAGTTGGAATGCATGCATCGATTAAACCAATGCATGTATCCATAAAATATATGTATTTTTCTGTACGTGATTTACAAACTTTTTTTTTGAATTTCAATTTTTTTTAACAGTAAACAAGGAAGCATAAACATTATGTACATGATAACGTTTTTATAACGTAAAAGTCACACGTCAATACTGGTTTCACGATATAGTGTCTAGATAAACAGATAACGAAGATTAAGTGTAAAGTAAGTCGATATCGTAGAAACGGAATGACGTTTCATGCAACACATTTTCGATAGTTTATAGAGGAACATGTGTATTTATGTATAAACTATGCCAGATTTATAACAATATACATCGATAATACCAAATTACCAATAATACGATCCCCGATAAACGATCGAAAAATATAAAAGTAACTTACACAAATATTTCTTTTTTTCGTTTCTCACTACTAGAAGAATATTAACTATCGTAAAAGGAGATCGATATTATTTTATCGTATTACTCAAATGTGAACGTATTTTAAATGTATCCTATATCAAATTAAGATCAGTACAAAAGTTGCATCATTTCTACAGAAATTTGGTCAGTCGTTAATCGCCGTTCCTCGTCTCCGCTGTCTTCCGGCCTGGATCATTCCATTGAGCAACAAGTATTACACTGTAGAATTTCTTATGGCAAACTCGAATTATTTATTCTGGCATGATTAATATTAGGATGAAAACAAAAATTTCACTCGACACGTGTCTCGATGTATACCAACAAATGAAATCTAATGCTATTACAAAACGAAGCAACTCTATTAATCACAAAGAATCGTTAAAACTGCCATCAGGGTAATACCAAAGAGCAAAGCAACTATTTGTTTTAATGATTCTTTAGGGCTAGTTTCTTTAAGCAATTCAGGTAGAATGGTCACCATGCCGATGTGAAGGAAACCGCCCGCAGTAAAGGGTAATATCCAATTCGTTTTTTCCCCTACAAACAAATTATTGCAAATGTTATACATTACATATAATATATATATTTATTGCAATACGTATATATATCGTCACTGAATGCAAGAAATATTTAAACTGTTTTCGTTGCAGTATTAAAGAAACGCTAATTACCTATTTCACCACCGGAGAAAAGTACGGCAAACATGGCTCCAAAAATGCCACCGCTAGCAGTGAAAAGCTGCGCCCGCGCAGCGTCCCATCTGTTGAATCCGCTGCGTAATAATATCGCAAAATCTCCGACCTCGTGTGGAATCTCGTGTATGAGAATAGCGAATGTAGTAAGAACACCCAGACGGAAGGACACGAGGAAAGAACCACCCACAGCTAATCCATGAGTAAAGTTGTCTATGACATTGGCTATTAGATTAAGATAGCCACTTATATGCTTAGGCTTTTCTTTTGCAACAGTCTGTTGGTCGTCAGAAGCTTTGTCTGGGTTGTCCTTTTTGGAACAACCATTCGACAATTCAGTCACGAAACCGTTGGTGTTTCTTGAAAATTTCTTCAAATAATCGTTCGCTTCGTCTAACGGTAAACTTTTCAGAGTACTGGACAACTCGGTGCATATTAATACTGGCTCGATGCCATTGGTAACGAAGCCATTCTTGTGTACATCTTTGAAACCATTTGGCAATTGGGAGTATCCGTTCTTTTTCTCTAAGAATGGCTGCAACTGCGTCAATAATTTCCATAAGTTGCATTAATTTCAAGTACAATATCAATTATGTGTTATTACAGAATTTATGAATTACCTCGTTAATGACTTTCGAAAAATCGTTGGGAAGCCGCTTCGAGAAACCATTCTTCGGATTACTGCCGATCAAATTGATGCAATTATTGTTCTCCATTTCCTTCTCAACTTCGACGTTTGCTTTCTCGCAAAGTTTCGCATTATTTATAGACGTATCCTCGATCTCAGTCTCCTGCTCGAAAGCGAACAGTTTCTCCGCTACGACGAATACCAAGAAACCTCCTAGCACCCATAGACCGGAGGTCATCGACGGATGTCCAGCATCCGCTATTGAAACAAGACAATTGAAAATTTACAAACACGTGTAAACGGTGATTCTGGATTTTCAAGGGGACAACGTGGTCATCTACAAAAGTAAAAGTCGGCGAAAGTAACTGAGAAGTTGTAGATGTACTAGTTTCATTTAGGAGAGGATAGCAGAGGCAATTGAAATCAGCAACTGAAGTACAATAGAGTTTCAGAACGTTGCTTGAATCGCTTACAAAGCAGCCAACGGAGGTGAAGGATCGCCTCGAGTCATGCTTTTAGCGTAGATCTAATATGATAAATTGCAGATTGAGACTTGAGTGGCTTGTAAAAAGTTTAAATACATGATCTTTGATTGAAAAAAAAATTCGGATTGTTTCTTATTCAATGCGAGCCGTATTATAAAAGTAAGACTACACCGTTAGAAAAAAAAAAGGCTCGTTCATCTTCGATAAGTATCATTTTGAAGTATCTAATATTTCTCTTCCGTGTTATGTTATGTACTTGAGATTTTTGCAGACGAGGAACTGATAAAACCAGCTCCACGTGTCTATCCACGCGAATTGTATTTCGCACAGTAAGAAAAGAAAAATAGATTAGTCGCGTTGCATGCTCGATACACAAACATTACGTCACTCGATTGATTCTTTGACGACCTCAACTTAATCTTTGACACTATTCTCGCACATTTTCCCCTTCCTTCGAATCTTGTTCTACGATAAACATCGCGGATCTTCCCGAATCGAGTTGTTCAAGGCTATCGTTCCTCGTAACTTTCTGATCGTTTTCAAATAATGCACGACCTTTAGCACGCTTTTTGCAATTAAGGTAATTCACTGTACACAAGTAACGTTTTGTTAATAATAAAGTGCGAAGAATCGAGTTAAGAAGCGTGGTTAGTTTCTGAACGAATTGGAAAAATTCCTAGACTAAAACTTTCGAAGTGAATGTGGTAGTAGAAAATGCACGTAAATTCGATGTAAACTTCACTCGTGAACGTTTCAAATTCAATATACAAATTCTACAAACCATTAAAGTCTCGAGTTTCGAAAAGAGTCTTCAAACTCAAAAAGCGGAGAACGATGAAAGAAAATCTCATTTGGAGTTTGTTCGCGCTAATGTCACGATTGATTCGCTCATGTGATTTATGTTCAAACGAATCGCGAAACGCCTCTGTTGCCATTTTACAGTACGATATTGCAAGCAAGGACAAGCCACTAGTTGCTGATAGTTTATTATCGTCTAAGAGAGCCTCTGGCTTCTTTTCATTTCCTTTGATTAAATACGCATTTTTCTTCTTCTTTTTCTTCCTCTTTTTTTTTTTTTTTTTTTTATATATATAGCGATTCTTAAAAGTTCCTTTTACTTTTGTTCAAAGAGTCGTTTGCCCATGCTTCAGGTAGCAGATGCAAGAAGACATCGCCCAGGAGACCGCCGACTGCGAAGCTCAACAACATTTTCAGCATACCTGCGCTATCTGCAACAGAAATAGCCGAGAACTCTTAAATAAAAGGTCAGTAACATACACAAACTATGACAAATTGTGTTAAGATTTATGAGTGGAACGAATCAGCATGGATTATTATTATTGTGGGATGGGCAAATTATGGGAAAGGGCCCAAAACTTTCCCCAGTGCCCAACAATTGCAACCAGATGTCCCAAGTGGTGTACCATAAACTGTAGAGAAAAGAGTTAGGCCTGGATCCTGGGACCTGGGATAGTTTATGGCGAATCCTCCAGGCCTAGCGTTTAAGACACTAAGGTATGACTGCGTGTAGGAATAACGAATTTTGTGCAGATGAAGAAACTGTAGAGAAAATTAGACCTGGGACCTGGGATCGTTTATGGCGAATCCTCCAGGCCTAGCGTTTAAAACACTAAGGGTATAAATGCGTTTGTGTGTATATGTGTATGCGTGTAGGAATAACGAATTTTGTGCAGATGAAGAAGGGTCGAAGAGAACAGAGAGTGTCGAAACGTCAGAGAGAGCAGAATGAGCGAGTCGTGAAAAAGAGAAGACAGTGGACTGCGAGCCTAGTAAGTTTAGCAATTAAGGAAATAGTGTAAAACGTCACTTTATAATTATTATTAAACAAATTTCCTTTATTTAACAACTATCTTTTATCAAAATTCCTACAAATTGGGATCTCAATCTCGATCCGAGAATCCTACATTATTATATAGCTAAATTCTGTTTGAAAACGTAAAATTATAAACGTTATAAACGAATCAGACTGCTGATGTTTGTGAAATTTTACATTTCCACGAACATAACTCAGAAAATCTAAATAGAAATCTGCTTTGTAGATTTTTCTAATTCTTCAAATTTCCCAATACGCAGTCTATATAGGCTAAATTTAATAGATCAAGAGAATTGCTCTGACTCTCTTCCTACGCGTAGCACGCATTGCATGATACGAGTGATCGGTTTTTCCTGCACAACGCTGATAATAAGTCATTTGACCATTCACCGAGCGCACGAGTCACTGTTGTTGTTAAAATACAATTTATCTCGCATGTTCTTTTCCTCGAGTCAAATAATCAAACAGTTGAAAACGAGGAAACTGATTAAAAAAAAAAAAAAAAAAAAAAAGAAGATACGTCGAATGAAAAAGTAGGAGTCGTCGTTCTTCTGCCATTGTACAGGGGCTAATCTGTAATTTTCAATCGAGAAATGATACCGCAGCTAGAATTTGCCTAAACGTTTTCGTATCGATCATTTCAATCAAACGATAATATCTCATTTCGCCAATATATCAATTACATATATAATTGTATTAGTAGTTACGTGCGATGATTCGAATCAGATCGTACTTGAGCTCCTTTCTGTCTGTAATTCGCGATCTGATGGTATACCTCGTTTCATTGCTGGTTACGTAAAGCATACGTAAAGCGCATGTTATCTTTGTTTCAAAAGGCGTCTAATCATTTTGTTATAATACTATCACTTAATAATATATAACATATAATATCTTGGATAAATGGTTAATCGTAATCAGTTTCGAGTAGATGTCCAAGAATCGATAAATTCTATTTAACGATCGAATAATTGATCTACTTCTTTCAGAGAAACATAAGCTTTCAGGATTTTTATTTCTGTCAGAAAGAAAGATGAAAATTGATGAATTTTATGCCAAAGTGTTTCTGTTTTCTATTATAGACAATGAACGAAATGCAAGGGCAATTTTTTCCAGAAATAATGAGTCCGTATTCAAAATGGTCGATCTATTTTATTAATTAATCGATCAATTTATGCCAGAAATAACTATCATTAAGTGCTGTTACTACGATAAACGCCCATTTATTTCAAATCGTTGAATATGCTAGTACAGTGACCTCTTACAGAGAATCGTTCTTGTTAAATACATGTGGTAAAGACCGCTTGGCCGTATGATTAATATTTTCGAGTTTACAAGGTCAGTTGAAAAATCTAATCGAAGAACAACTTGGAATGTCCATCGATCAATGGTTAATAAAAGCATTATCATTTCTCTGATGCTCAGTTTTACTCGATATAACTCGCGCGTCTAAACATTCTCTTGAACAATACATGACTTTAATTTTCAAGTATTTTTCTTGTTAATATCGCGAACCTTGCACCGACCTCATGATCTATATATCGGTTCAATAGATTCCGCCTCTCTCAACTACATTTCGCACATTTAAATACTGCACGCGTATATATATATATATATATATATATATATATATATATATATATTCGCGAGAATTAAACAAACGCTCATTGACTACTATCTCTCTGGGAGAGAAAAAAAAAAAAGAGTTGCTATCGTTAATCGTGACAGCGTTGCAACCCTATCGCAGACGGCGAAAACAATAAGCAATCAAATCGACGATGACACGTTTTCCAATAAATGATCGTTGCAATAGAAATTCCCATTTCCCTATTTTGTTTAATATTGCAATAGTAATCGATGAAATGAACGGCGTTAATACGAGCTTGTTTCCATACATATCCATAATCGTAATCGTTCGTGGAAATTATTTATATTATTAAATATTATATTTATATATTTATATTATATTATATTTATATATTTATATTATATTATATTTATATATTTATATTATATTATATTTATATATTTATATTATTAAATTATTTTCAGAAGTAAACCGCTTATTATTTCGCTGCAAACAGATAAGATCTTAGATAACAATTTATTTCGAATTTAAAAAAAATTTCTACGGCATCTAATTTCTGAATCATATAAAGAAATCAATAATAAAGTCTCGGTTGAAAAGATAGTGGTTCTAACTAATTCTCAATAATATATATTTCTTCCTCCAGTTGTGCACCAATCTTGAAGTAAACAGTGACAGTGAGGATACAGATAAAGCGTGAATCTTAAATAATCGAAATTCCCCACGATTTATATACATACAATCTTTCCCAGTTTCCACGGATATTGTGCTTGACTGTGACTTTATTGCTCAAGTCTGGGAATAATATCTAAAACGTAATAACAATTTTAATTAAAAACAGAAGAGGAAATGAATCTGTCCGAATTGCATTGCACAACAATGAGTCATTAGATAATTATTAGCAGGCTGTACTCTTTCATCCTGCACAAGAAATTCCTAGAATCGTTTGCAGATCAACCATGATGAAATATCCAGACAATGTTGCAAATAGGAGAATTTGAATAAATTAAAATATTAATTGTCGCTTCATGAATATTTTAATCATTTTTTTTTTTCGAAAAAAAAAAAGAAAAAAATAGCAAACACTTGATTGAGTCGATACGAACTGAGCGAGTTAACTTAGAATAAACATCATGAACGAAGAATGGAATAATAATAACAATGTCGTTGTAAAGTTATCAACTAATTTGATACGATTATCCGGTTGTGGATCGATACAACATCGATGGTCATTGTTTCGTTTATTTTTCATTGTTTCTTATCGAGTACAGTTATCCGGCAATTACGCAAGATAGGATTTTTCAGTGTGAAATGTTCTGTACGTCAAGCTACTCGATGAAACTACTACTGGAAACGCACGATCGAGGATTAATTACACTCATCGAAATGATCTGTAGTTGAGCGTGACAAACCACGCTCTTACTGCAATTTCAAACAATTACCTCGAACGTGCAAAGTTTTCTCGTTCCTCGCGTGCTTACCATTACGAGGATAGTTGCGTTGTTGCAACAATCCGTTGCTTGACGCTTGGCGTTGCGAATATCGGAATGTAATTAGTAAAAACGTCGTTGAAAGATCGTCAATTATCTAATCTAGTTGCGAGCAAAATAAATACGAGGACGCGTTTGAACGCGTAAGGGAAAAAAGAAGGAAAGAAGTAACAAGTTGTATGCGGCTAAAAACAGCACTAGAGCATTACCATCGTGGCACCAATGCCAATTAATTGATAATTAAAATACCATTTGAAACGCAATTCCCTAATTGTCCCCAATGGAATAACTAATCGACCAACAAACCACACAACTGAATTCTAACAAAGAAAACGCGTGTGAGGAAACGTAAGAGGGAAAGTTCTGTGATTTCACCACGATTTTTCATACGGATTCTACCAAAACATACGGTCGTGATCCAAACTTGAACTTACATAGTATACATTACACGTATGTAGAAGAAAATGCAGTACATATGTGTCGCGTGCGTGGTTCTAAAATAGAAGAATCGATCGGATGGCGTGCAGGAGCATTCAAAGGAATTAAAACGTGCATTTCGATGAAACTGAAGTTCTTCATCCATGGGCGAATCCTCTGCCTGTTACAGTCCAATCGCGATCGGACGGAGCGAAAAAGAAATGGAGAACGCATCTGCGAAATGCGAATCGTGGGCAGAGCAGCGAGACTAGCTCGATAATAGTTTCATTCCAGAACAATCGTTCCTTCGGTTAAATGTCCGTTTCATGTGCCATCATTTGATTTGTTCCATCTTAAGCAGCAACGTAGACTCAGTCGCGTTAATTTCTCAAGGCCGGCTTTTTCTGAGCAAGAAGCGAATAAATAGGATTGGTTTAAATAAATAAGAACATGAACCTGTTTTTTAATATATGGTGTCGTGACAATTATCAAAGAGCAATTGACAAAACTGAAGCATTAGAAAAACGATCGCTGATATATGAAAGAATGGAGAATCGTTTTTCCGATTCACAATTGGGGAAGGCTGTTCGTAATAGAAGATCGAAAGCTCAAGAAAGTACATGTAAACGAGAAGGATCGAATCGAACGAGAGAAAATTGGCTTACACAATCTTGCGTCATCGATCTGCAGTTTCGTAATGCAAATGGAACGCTTTCCTTGACCGCCGTGCACCGTTACAAGATGAAATAGGACAAAATGTCGATGACCAATCGCGATGCTTAATCTGGCCAAGAATAAATAAGTGGGTGATTCAGGTGTCTCGATGATATGTAGGAAAAAAAAAAAGAAAAGGAACAAGAAAGACCTTATTACAAACGAGAAGAACAGTTCATTTTGACGCGAGAAACCACACGACTCGAAGAATTAGCCGCGCTGTAAAGAAATGAATTTTCGTTGGTTGTAATTTAAACGGACTGACGGCTATCGATTATCTTTTATCAAGTAAATTCTAGAACACTGGAAGACCCTGAAAGTTGTTGATTCCCTACCCATTGTAAAACTGCGATCGATGCAAATGTTTCGTGTGAAAACGAAGATTACTGTTGCTTCGAAGTTATTGTCAAGCAACTTTCAAGATCGAAGATGGAAAGAGATCGGCGAACGAGATGCACGACCGTATCGATTTATTTTCATAATTTCCTATCTTCGTGTCCAGATATGATCGAACGTGCCAGTGAAAGTCAGTTGCAACGACTGCTTCGTTCTTCGTCCGATAAAGGCTCTGGGGGATGCCCTTCGTAACCCAAGAGATCTTATATAACAAGTCTCAGCGTAAAAGTGAATAGAAGATACAATAGAGAGATTTCGAACTTGTTTATGCTTCGGTTACGTAATCCTTATGCAAATAGGAAACACATTTGCACAAAGTGTGGATCGATTTACGTACAGACAGTTATATTAGCATAAATTTCCACGTAATGACCCACAAAATGGCGATGAAATTACCTGAAGATCATCTGCTTCAACTGCTACCTCCTGTCCTTGAATTCTTTCTACCGGTTAAAACGATGTTACATATACGTATATACACATGTGCGTCCCACTCACAGAGGAATTGGAAATTTCATTCGTATACTCCGCTATGTCCAACAGGTTTTACGACCTTCAGGGTACATTGTCTGTGCTATAGTGTACTGTTCACGCACACGTGAACTCGACACGTTCGCGCAGTTCGAACGCTTCTCGTGCCATTACTTCGATTCGGCCTTTTACCTCTACCGTGGACGATTTTCAAAAACAGAATTCCACCCTCGCGATTCTAATTGCTAAAAATGAAATTACCAAGCTATTAATATTTCTAAATTCAAATAATTCCACATATTTTCTATTTTATCCACCAACATTGCTATTTTATATCACTTGATCGTTTAATCTCTGAGAAATTCAAAAATTAGACGAAAAGGATTTAAAAGTCTCGGGAAACCAGGCTTCCAACGTCAAATACGAAAGTCTACGTTTCTTTTTTTTCCAACGTTCTCCACGACAAACAGTAATCTGAATACATATATAAATTACATTCGCATTCCCCGGTTGGTAGTTCGCAAATGCTATTGTCGCAATGCATACCAAGAAAAAGTTCCACGACCTTGAATAACCTCATTGGCGTGGAACAAGTAGCATCGCGCGTTAACGCCGACCAGGAATTTTGTTAACGCGTCTCGTGTATACAATGATCACATTCTGTTTATATTTTCATTAGATATCGTTACACAACGAAACGAAATTACGAGCGTTATCTTCGACATGTGACAACGTTAAGAAAACACGGTCTATAGTTCCAGAAACCGGAATTAACCCTCGGTCGCTTGAGTTAGGTCAAAATGACCGTCATACCTTTTTAGGTATGTTTTTTTACCAGCTACAGAGTCGCATTCCATTTTGAAAATCTATCATCCTGTCAGCCGGACACAATTCTGCCTTTAGTTATAATATTTCGAAGAATCTATTGCGAATGCAAATACAAAATATATTTTTTACAATGTCGCAGCGAAAAGAAAAGTCTTTTAAATATATTTCCTTCTGATCTATTGGCACGATAATCTATTGCACATGATTCGAAGAACCGAATACATTCTGGCGCAATTGCTAGTGTGTTTCACTGAAAAGGACCAGATTACGTTTCGAGGGAAGACGCTGGCACGAGCATCGAGCGATGCGATAAATAATATGCGCAGCAGAGACTCTTTCATGTGGCCGAGCGTTTTCTTTTCTTTTTCAAGCACCGGGGAGAGAATTCTACCTGAAGCAATTTTGCCACGTCTACCGCAATGCCGCGTTATTGCGAAGAACAAAATAACTTCACGCATACGAAATCGCAGAATTCATTTCTTAATAAGAACGAGGAGAAAGGCGACATTGTGAACAGCCGCCATTTGGAGCGACGCAACCGCGTTAATTTCTGAGAATTCGGATAATCCTTGTCACCACCATCTTTACTAGAACTAGAATTTCATAATAGCATGGGACAATCGTGAAGTCGTTGTTTTCTTTCTTTTTTTTTAAATAATAATTTATTTCGGTTCGATTGAGCGCACGTTTTTAGTAAAATCGATCTACAAGTATAAAATTACTTTATGTTGGAAAAGATCATAAATATTTATAGGAGGGAAGTCAGAATTTTAGGTATGTAAAATTCATTATTATTTCGATGTTCATGTTATTAAAAAAAAAAAAGCACAATATATTTGTAGCTGATTGATCAACTTGAAACCTGAAGATCGTCGTGAAATTACTTCACGTTTCTAATTTTTTTATTAGTAACTCAACAAAAAACAAAGATTGATTAGATAATATATATGGACTAATTTCATTAGCCGTTATCAATGATCTAATCATTCAGCAAACAAAATCAATGATTGAAAGATTGATGAACAGATAAATTAATATTGAAAATTTTCATTCGCTTGCTGCAAATTTAATGCGCGTGTCATTTGTAATAGTAAAAAGAAGAAACTTGCGCGTAAAATTTAAGCAAATTGAGCAAACGAAAGCATCTTAACAATACATTGGTACAGATCATCCTGTACTAACCTATTGTGGCGTTATTTCCCGCGTGTGCGTTAAAATGTACACATAACCTCCCTTAGCAATTGCCAGAATCCCTTGCAGCCAAAAAAACATCGTGATCTCACGTGAATCATACAGGCTCATGCTGACTAGGAAAAAGAACGTGACAACAAAGGAAAGAGCGTCGATCAAGTGTGCCTTAGGAAAAAAGTATTACCTCCAGTTTTCAGATCGGCACCTTCTTGGATGGGGACGATCAATAGCGGAAAAATACCGGTCAGTCCGATCACGGTACTTCCAAGCAAAGAGAATAACCATGGTGTGTACTCTAAATGTTCCACCGCGTCCCATGGCGACCACATCTCTATAATCATGTCATATAGAAATCCAGTGGAATCGGTGCAATTCTGCTGCATGCACATGTCCGCCGCCATGTTTGTGCTTTGTGTATCCAACAACCTTTTGCTTGTCAAAACCTTCCGGATCTTTCTCTTAACTTTTTTGACCCTTTGGTTTCCTCGTTGATCTTCCTTATTGATTTTACAATCTTTACCAGAGTCTACGCAGTGAACCGAAAGAATAAAACGCAAGGAATTTCTATCCTTTCTGTTTTGTTTATTTCAAGATAACCTCTCTCACAAACGCCCCACGTACTTAAATCTTCTGGCTGATCAACTATCCGAAAATTATACCGACGTTCAAGGAATCTTTCGAGCAACGAAATGTATCGAAAAAAGAAAGATTTATTAGGAGAAACGAGCGTTGAGAAATCGTCGAGACAACGACTACCGAGCGCCCGACTAGCCTACACTGAGGACTGAGTACGGACGCTATGAAATCAGGCTGTCGCCGCCTCTACTGTCGTTGTCGATTTTGTAGATCAAATCAAGCCTCTTGTTATTTCATACCGCCGCAATGCCGGGGATAAAAGCAGCGAGATCAGTCCTTCAATGCTAGATATCAAAATCACTCTGCTCGACAATGTATCGCAGTCCAGACGACTCGGCGCGTCTTCTTCTATTCCTTTTCTCTTTCTTCGGTGTTCAACTCCTTTCGTTTATTCGACACTTGCATTCGTCACGACGGTCTCTTATGCCGCCGAACTGCCCCTCGTCTCGAAATCTTGCGCCTCGTTGTTTTCACCTTGTTACGTTCTCAATTGAAAAAAAAAGAGTTCAAAACTATGAACAAAAGTTTGTACGATTTGAACGATTTGACGTAACAATGTAATCACTTTTACTGATAAACACGGTTACACAACTGCACCACGGTAGCATGTAACATACGTATTTCGAGAAGTTACGATTTGATTGTTACATGTATTTTTGGTTATGTACCAAACTGAACTGATCATACGGCCGAATGCAGCATCCACTGATTAACGAGTAGAACTGCGATGTTGTTACTCTGCCTTTTATCTTTAATTTAGATTAGTTCTAAATGTTGAGAAAGAAAAACAATGAATTACGTCACCTATCCACCACAACAACACAACGGCTAATGCGTATCGCAATGAAGGCGGTTCTTTTTATAGCTAACGAAGCGCTCCACCGCGTCGTTTCAATAGCTGTAAACAGAGACAAGAACATGTCTGCGGCGGATAAGGAAGGAAAGTAAAGGATAGAGAAGTGAAAGAAGTAATGGAAAATCAATGAAGATTGAACTTAGGTTATTCAACGACGAGGGAGTTTTAATTGTTTATTGCGAATAAATATGCGCGTGAAATGGCGTCGACGAAGAGGAAAGAGGGAAATTCATTTTCGTTATTGAGTATTGAAATTCATAGAGGCGCTGCTGTACCTCCTTCACAATTCTATGTTAACGCGAAATAAATCGGATTGTTCTGATCGTTGATAATAAAATGAACATGTAAAATTAAAGGTGAGGTAAAATCTTCAGTTTTTTTTTTTTTAAGTTACTCCATTGGAGTTTCAAATATTGCAACATTATTGCAAGAAATCTCCTGCATGCGACAACTAACTTTATCACGAAGATATTTAGTATTTTTATCGCGACACTTCTACGTATTGCATCTTAATATATTTTGGTGGCAACGTCGCCATTAGATAATAAAAATATTGAATTTTTAGATACTACGAGTATATTTATACAACATAGCCACTTTTAGAGATAATATTGAACAGATCATGCTTTCCAAATTATCTTTCTCAGAATACGTTTGTTGCAATTTATTGCGAAACGCCACTTTTGCGATCGCCATTTTGATGATCGATTAACGTATGAATATATACGCTTTTCTTTAATCCTAGATAACAATTGTCTGTCTATTGATAAGTTTAATAAATATGAAAGCAAACAACGGAAACAATGATCACGACTGATAACATATTGCGTAGCCATATGCAAAAGCTTGAATAAAAAAGAAATATCTCTCCGGCAATATACGCGCGATCCGTTGTAAAAGTATAAATATCCATTAAGGAGACATCGATTCATCTATATGATCTGCTTTATGTTATTTAAATTATTATTATACACATGTACTTATTAATAGTTGTGTAACAAATTACAAAATTATTATTTACATTTATAAAAAAAAATTTTGAGAGCAAATATCTCCTCAATTTGTATCCACAGCTGGTAATGTAGAACTTCCAGCGCCATCTTCAATGTTAATCTGCAAGCATACAAATACGCAAACTGAACAAATGCATATACTTACATTTTTTTCCATCAACTTGAAATAGTTAAAAAATATCGAATCGAATTCTGTAATGTTTTATTTCATCGATGATTAGAAACTATGACGAATCATTCAAAGACATGAGGATAGAAAAAAGCATTCGTATTGATGAAATAATTAAACAAACTGAACATAGTAAATTTACGTCGCGTAAGATCTTGTAATTCACCGTCAACATTCATACATCAAATGCGACCTTAATTAATCAAATTGCTAATGGCGTTGAGCCAAATGCTACCTATTTGGCCTGCAATCAAAAAGCAACTGTCGTGCATACACAGCGTTTGTCATTCACAAAATTCTTATTATCGGAAAATCAAAATATGTAGTACAGAACAATATTTTCGCGAATCAGAAAATCCTCTCTTTTTATTGTATGACAGAATTAATTATTCTCAAATATTCTATGATCCCTTCTCTTTCGCGCTTTATTTTTTCATTTAATCTTTTTAATTTATAAATACACAAGAAAAGATAATAGCACTCTGTAAAAAAAAAAATGCTGACCATTAACATTCATGTTTTGTACTCTGAATTTTTTTCTTTTTCTTTTTTTTCAAATCAAAGTATATACATACTGGATAATTAGAGAATTTATTTTCTACAAATTCAAATAGCTATAGAATATATTTCTCACTTTCTCGTAATCTAACCACGACTAAAAATACAATAAAGATATTATTTCGATGATTCGAGGTGAAACTCGGCGTGCTTTTTGTTGTTGGATTTTCGAAAAATCCCGCAACGTGACGGCCCTCTGTTGGCTGTGCATCCTTGCGTGGCACAGCTCTCCAGTCAGTCTATTTTAGGGAACGACAGAAAGTTAAGATTATTTTAGTTACATTTTTCACCTCCGATCTAGAACGTAGTAGGGTGCTTTGCAATACGAACATCACGAAGGTCGAGTAGCTTGATTTTCGATATATATCGAGGGTTGCATGCGTTCCGGCTAAAAACGACGATAAGTATTTAGAAAAAAAAAAAAAAAAACTGAGAGAAGAAAGAAAAATTACTTCAGAAGGAATATTCTAAGAAACATCACGATTACAAGATCATTATATAATCCAGATCTCGACGTGTTTCTCCGAGAGCTCCGGAAGAAGGAAATAATGACCAGTCATTAGACGATGGCTCATTCTTCCATCCTTCGACAAAAATCATCTACACGGAAGAACGTGCACAATCTCAATCTTCTTTATCAAATTTTTTATATGCGCGATACATCAATTGTTTGTGTGAAATTTTACTCTACGATTTCTTATTGTTTGTTCGAGTGTCATTCCACGTTGTTAACTAAATCACCAACGATATAGTGGAAGTGTATTCATTATTCTTTCCGCATATTTTTCATCAAACAGTGCAATGTTAGAGTGTAATCGATGTGCTATTTCCATAGAAAAGTATATGTACATCCGTATATGTTTTAAGTTTTTGACATTTAAATCCGTTCTCGATCAATCGATATATCATCATCATGGACACACGCAAAATGTCCAACTGGAACGTGCTGAGCATGGAAGCAGCTCTTCAACAGCTGAACAATTTCGATGAAGACAAAAAGGAAGTTACAAAACGGTCGAATACGGTATCTCGGTTTCCTATCTATTTCATAAAAAATTTTTTAAACGCTGTCGCAGTAATAATCTCGTCTCATTCTTTCCGCTGTTTTTGAAAGAGATTTGTAACGTCATGCTTTTTTTTTTTTGTACAACCTGCAAGACGTCAGGATTATGACGTCTTAAAGATTCTTCTTCTTTCGGTCCTCTTTCGCGTTACCAAGATATACTAATGCGTTCTGTCTATTCTTATCTTTGCTTGATGGCTGCTTGACTGACTGCTTGCCTTTATTTATAACTAATTAAGCTACCAGTCAGTCCGAAATGAGTCTTAGTCCAGGTCAGCCGGCAAACTCCTGACAAATCGTTTCCCAGTCTGGGACTTAACTTATTTCTTAACTCGCGGTTCCCCGAATGGTTATAAACTATATTCGTGGCTCTTTTGCAGTTCCAATAGTTTGATATCAATCGGGAAACGTGTAATTGCAAGTGATTTCTTTCTAGATCGATCGTAATCGGGATAATTAATTGCGTTTGAGCAATTCCAATTGCAGTTACAATGAGCACCTGGCATCATCTGGACGTGGAATTCGCCACGAGTGCTATATCTAGAGAAGATATCGGTGGTAGTATTTATCGAAAAAGAATTGTGTCTAAAGTGGTAATTATTTCACTAAAATACACTGATTAATAAATTTATTTGATTAATATAAAAAAAAAAAAGAAATGTAATTTCGAGCCTAGCAATCTGTTCGTGCAACAGCATTCATCTTACCGTATCGTTTACTAACATCACGCGAGGGGATTTAATTGAAAGTAAAAGAAATCCCATTTGCACCGGATGAAACCATCCAACGAAGAGATGATATCGATGACGGCATGCATTATCGCATTGCGCGACTCGTGACTTTCTCTGATAAAAGTTGAGCTTGCAAACGATAAACGTTAACTTTGAAAGAAAAAAGGGGAAAAAAATATAGACGTATCGTTCAATAAATAGTTCTTATCCATCTTGTTATTTAATCAAAACACTCGAATGTTTAATACCCCGAGCCCGCTAATCGCAGATGAGATGATAGATACCAATTGTTCTTATCGAAAAACAACAGCTCGTGTTTCTTAAACTTTTTGTTGTAGTGCGATATATCGTCGTGTAAGTACCACGTGCGTGAATCTGTCTTGTCGTTAAGTCTCGTGTCGGATAAGTTCCAAGTCGCAGATCAACTGAACCGTTGTTGGCAGATTTCTAGAAAGCCTATAATGCTTGACAATCTGACAGTGTATTTATTTTATCAAGTATTTCATGACGTTTCCTCGAACTAAAAAAAAAAAAAAAAAAAAGGAGGGGCAGAAGAAAAGATAAAGGCTAAAAATTTTAATGAACGTAAAGTTTCACTAAATGAATGTCTGACTTTCTTGAAAACAATTTTCATTATGCCGTGTCCTGGAGTATTTCATTTCCGGAGCCCTTTTGTTGTTCGCGGCCACGTGCAACGGGAGTTGCGAACACGAGCCAGAAAATCTAAACTTCGCCCAAAATCTGACGTTTCACGGGAAACAGAAGGAAATGCACCTTGGCTGCAGGTGACGAGTTTAAAATTAAAGCGGAGACGGGTCTTCCAAGTCTTATATTTAGGACGACGCGCAGGCGCGATCCGATTAGAAATCCCGTCGAAGACTTAGAACTTCTACACTCCCCGAAATCCGTCGCGAGCCGCGATTTTCACGAATCTTCGTCACCATCGTAGAAATATCATTCCCCCGTTATTCTATATACCTAATCCCTCCGTGTTCTTTTCTCCTCGCATGGTGCAAAGTCGAATTCGTGCCGCGTGTGTCAGAAGTTCGTTCGATAGATCAACATCCTGTCGATCGAAGTACGCCCTGTGACGAATATTACTTCCCAAAAAGAACCTCGTTCGCCTCGAAAACCACGTTCTGAGAAAATAACAAGATGGATCTCGGGGGTGTCGATGTCTGGGGTCAGATAGCCGTGGAAACGTCCCAGATGTTCGTTTCCGAGGGCGGCGTGGTTAAAAGTCGTTTCGCTGGAACAGTAAGTGACCAATCTTATGGAAAACGTGTCGGGAGAAGCAAACAGAGAAGTTTGATGTTTCGGTGGCAGACAGTTCTCTCAAACAGTTTCAACGATTGTCATCTCTCATCTTTTTAGACGATAGAAAAGCTGCCGGACAAAGTGCTGCTGAACGTCTTCTGCTACCTGTCTCATCGTGAAATATGCGGGATGGCACGTGTGTGCAAGAGATGGCGGCAAATCGCGTACGACACGCGACTATGGAAGCACGTATCCCTACGGCCGGAAATCAGTGGGCTGCACGTGAATTCCTTGGACAATCTGCTGCACTTGATCAGGTACTTATTTTCTCAATATAACATTGGCAAGTAACGAGTTTCTCGCCACTGAGGTTCAAGCCAGAATTTCTCGCTTTTTGCCAAGATACAAATTATAAACGTTGATTATAATACTACGGATCAGAGAGTCGTGATAACATTGAAACGATTTTCTCTGACACCAAGCACGCGTTTCGGAGCCTCGCTGAGGTACATCGAGCTACCGATCGAATTGATCACTCACACGGTTCTCCACGAGTTGGCCAACAAATGTCCAAACTTGACGCACATGCTGCTCGACTTTTCCACCGCCATGCAGCTGCACGACTTCTCGGAAATGCAAGCCTTCCCGACCAAGCTGAAGTACATGTGCATCTGCCTGTCAGAGGTAATCTTCATGGAGGGTTTTATGAGGAAGATTTACAATTTCATCAATGGCCTGGAGATCCTGCATCTTATAGGTTCGTGTCTATTTATCTTCGAGATTCCTAAGTGAATCCTTACGACACCACGAGAAACTAACTGCGCGTACGGTCTTACAGGAACGTACGAGAAGGTGGAAGAAGAGGAGGAGGAAATTTACGAAGTGATAAACGTGCACAAACTGAAATCAGCGACTCCTAACTTACGGGTGATCAATTTATATGGGATCAACTTTGTGGACGATTCGCACATCGACGCGTTTTCTTCCAATTGCATCCAGCTCGAATGCCTGGCCGTGAATTTCTGTGCCAAAGTCACTGGCTCAACCATGAAGACCCTGTTTCAGAGGAGCAGAAGATTGAAGTGTCTTCTCATGCAAGGCACAAGTAGCTAAGCATTCAACCGTACAATTTTATCTACGATCACGCGAAATTCGACGATACTGTACGAATGTTTCTTTCAGATCTTCAAAGCGAGTACGTGATGCAGGTGGAATGGGAAAAGTCGAGCATCCAGGAGCTCGACGTCACCGCGACAGACCTGTCAACGGAATGTCTGATCGACATGTTGTCCAGAATTCCGGGCCTTCGTTTCCTGAGCGCGGGTCAGCTGAACGGCTTCAACGACAGCGTGTTAAAAGCCTGGGCCGAACTCGGCAATGCTCGGAACCTGATCGCCCTAGACCTGGACAGTTCCGACAACCTGACTGACGACGCTCTGCATAAATTCTTGTCGAGATACGGTCATCAACTCTGGGGACTCGCCTTATCCGGCATGCCTCACATCACCGATCAACTGTGGCAGAGTGTGCTGCCCATACTGACCAATGCCAAGTAAAATATATTTTTAGATCATTCAATATCCTCAATGTAGTCGCTCTGGCAAAAAGCGAATCGAATTCCAGTCGAAAATTTTTTCATCTTATTTCTACGTGCGTTTCAACAGCGAATGCGAAAGCATCTCGAAGAATTCAGTTTATTTTTTTTTTTCTGTTTTTTTTTTTAATTTAAAGTTTAGTTTAGTCTCTCTTTTAGTTAGCTTTTACGACGTTACCTTTGAAATTCGTGTGTCTCGTTTGTTTCTAGAATTCTCGTGATGGGAACACAGGAAAGATTGGGCGTGAATATTCACGTGGATCAGCTGATGGACGGAATTGCCAACAATTGTCCAAATTTAGAGCGACTGGAGCTCCGCTGGGATCCGGAGAATCTCCGGTTCTCCGACAAGAGCCAGAAGGCTATAGACATATTACGCGTAAAGTGCATTAAATTACGATGTTTAAGCTTGAGGTAAGCTCGTAAGGCCGGGAACGGTTTGAAACGAGACAATAAATATACTATGTACTTATGAAGTCGATGCGTTCGCAGCGATGGAAGATACTATGAAATAGTGAAGGCCAACTTCGAGCGTGCCGATAGACTGACGGTTGTTCGTACGACAACGTGCTGCCGCGTGTCTAATTACTACCTCTTAGCGAATTATAAGGATTTGATTTTCAATTAACTATCACGATGTAAATATTCGTACGTACGCTGCTACGAGGATTTTCATTGACGAGTTTTTCCATAAAAACGAAGTGTCGAGACGAACAAGCACATCAAAGGGGTAACACGTTAAAGATTAAACACAGATGTTAAAGCAGACATTACAAAACACGTGTAACTCATAACGAAATCTCTCTTGTTTCAGCGTAACGTATCAAACGACAACTACGATCAAACAACGAATCTACCTGCGACTACTCAAGTGTAATACTGTTCCCTAGCATTACGATAAGAAATCATGGCGCAAAATAACAGATGCATATTTTTTTACACTATTTTCAAGCGTGTAGCGTGAGTAAACGAAATTACATCAACCCTGAAACTTTAAACTCGTTTGAACCATTACCCGCACCATTGTATCGCGAGAGAAAGGAAGACGAAGCTAAAGAATAGGGGATACTGACTACGTAGTCAATGAGAATCATTACGATAAATCTCGAGACAGGTAGAAATACAAGAGACGCAGTTATTTCTGAATTGATTGGACAACATTCTGACAACACGTGGGGAAAAGTTTTAAATGAAAAGTGCAACGTCAACGAGACAGAGGTACACGCACAATAGCTGTACGTGACGGTATCGATTATTCGCTAATTTATTCATGCAGCCGTGTAGACGACGACGACGACGTCGCACTGGCCACGGCCGGTCGGTCGATTCGCTCGATTCCATGCTCTAACCACATGCCAGGCCCTTCGTTTATGTGTTGCGTTATAGTCGACGCAGAACCGTCGTGGCTGACACGACTTTTCGCATGATCCCCGAAACTTTTCGTCGATCGTCGCGTTTCTTCCTCTCGTGCTCCTTTTAATCCCGATCTTCCCCAATGTCTGATATCGAGGAGGAGCTGCTGGTAAAGAAGCTGAAGATCGTCCTCGTCGGTGACTCTGGATCCGGCAAAGTGAGTTTTCCAATCCTGTCCGCAATCGAGGTTTCTGGTTAACCAAAAGTGTTGTCCAAGTTTCCATTCTTTTTTTTTTTCTTTCTTCTATTTCTGTGCCACTTCTGCGTTTCCGTGAGATCGACAGAAATATCGATTTTGACTTTCGATCGGAATTTTTTTGGAGAGATATATACATATATATGAGACACGTCGATGTACACGATTAAATTATTTCGTAGTTCAGCGTGCCTGAGCCTCGAAGAACGAAGCTACGTATCGATTTATTTCTTTCGTGCGTTGTGGTCAGTGCCACTGTTAAACACACTTGCACAAACCGAACGTCTTATAGTTATTTCCTTCCTTCTATACGTTCTGTTCCAGTTTACTTTTACCGATGGTAATAAATGGTCAGTGTAATATTTTTCTCACCCGAAGTGTCATTCACTGTTATTAGTAAACTCTTGGTAATTAGATAATACACGGTTCAAGTACAAATTACATATTCGTGACGGTTTCACCAATTATCTTTGATTCTTTCTCTCGTTAAAATTCTTTTGTTTATTAATTACGAGACTGGTTCTTCAACAACTTTCGGATAAACTGTTAATTAGCGAACAAGCACGGCACGCGAGTTGTCGATCGAACTGGAAATTCCGACTTGCAATCGAATGCTTGAAGGACTGCGTAACGATTTTTCGAAACTTCTGGTTATTTTTAATAATATTGCGTAATTAACAATCGACGATTTATTTTCGAATTATTTTTCGATTGGAAAACGATAATCTCTCTCTGTAATGATAGAATAGCAATTCTGGATAACTGAAATTCAAGGATCCCTGTTTAGACAAGCATCGCTCAGAAATTTTGCAATAACGAGTTCACGAGACAGTACTCGCCAACGTCTGGAATTGACTTCTTCCTGAAGAACGTCAGCGTCGGCTATTATAAAAATGTTAACCTACATTTATGGGATGTCGGCGGTCTTGCGTTACATGGAAACATGCTCGATAAATACGTCTTCGGGGCTCATGTAAGGAAAAAAAAAAAAAAAAAAAAAAAACAACGCGTCCGATAAATGCATCCAGATTACATTATGAAAACGTTATCTTATAAAAAAAAAATTTTCTACTACGAATGAAGAAAAAAAAAAGAAATAATTTTTCAGATAATTCTTTTAGTGTACGACGTGACGAATAGCTTCAGTTTCGAAGTTCTCGAAGAGTGGATAGGTAAAATCAGACAATTGAGCAATAACTACGAGGAAACACCGCTGATGGCTGTGGTTGGTAACAAATGCGACATGGAACATCAGAGGACGGTGAAAAAGGATCGAACACACAAATTCGCCGCGGACAATGGATTTCCGTCTCACGATGTTTCCGCTAGAACTGGCGAAGCGGTAAAATATTCTTTAAACAATGACGAAAGCAATATCCTGTCTTTCTTTAAAAAAAAAACAGAAAAAACCTGGATTTTATTGCAGGTTTCTTTGTGCATAGTGACTTTAGCCGCGCAAATCTTGGGTGTTCGATTAACGAAAACGGATCAGGACTATCACAGGCCCATAATAATTGCGGAAATAGGTGACACGGTGGACATGAACACTGTTCACAAGGTTGTGAAACGATTCCCCACAAGGAAGCAAACTCAAATTCCTTTTCATCCCCATTTACCCGGCTCGAAGTCGTCGGTTTGCCTGTTACAGTGAAAATTATCGGAGCAAGAAGCGACGTTTGCAACGAGATATTTTTCACGCAACAGATAGAATAGATATCGTAAGAGATAGAGTAGAGGCGACAAAAATCAAGGACAATAGACAGTGTACATAAGAGAGACGCCCGTAGAAATATTTTTCGCTACTTTCTTACCGTACGGGAGAGTTCACTTATATATACATACAATACTTTAAGGGGCCAATGCAATAAACCACTGGTGTCTTCGTAGTAGATTTAAAAACAGATTTATTTATCGATAAAATCTTACTACTTGCGGTAATAATATTAATATGGGTCGATGTGTAACAATGTTAAAAATACCTTTACAATAATAGTAATATTATTCGTTACAGTAATGTACATACACTGTTGATTGAGTACATGCCATGAACTTGTATTCAAATCGTCCTCTCGGTGATTTTGTTATATATAAATGTTGGTGAAAAGATTGTTCAATATTGAGAATAGTCGTTAAGAAATCACGTGTTAAAGAAAGCTCCGTAATCGCTTTTGAATATCGTAAGATTAAGTAAAACACGATAGCGAGCGAATAAGCTTTTATTCGCGTTTTAAGAATCGAGGAAGAAAAATTGTTTCGTCCATTAAGGAAGTCGCAGATGTATCTCTATTTTTATAAACTGTTGATTCACAGGTTTTTCTCTATATCTAATTCATTATTAATGGCACTAATCATGCAAAACGAGAAACACGTACAAAACGGGAAACACAAATATACAAAACGGAACGCATACAACGGAAGAACACGTCCTTTAACAAATAGGAATGAGTAAGACCGCAAAATGTGCGTACTCTTAGAACAATCGGCTTCGAGTAATATACATGTAAAATGTACATTGAAAGCATTAAACAGTAAAACATGTTAATAAATAGTCGAGTTTGTTTCATTAGGAATCAACGGCACAGGAGTTCACAAAATAGGATACATTTTTAATTATTCGAACGATATTACTAACCGAATGACCAATCCATTTTGGGATCAGTTTTTAAATTAACACTTCATTGAACATATATATATTTATATATACAAGTTCAAAATTTAAATTCGTATTGCAGAAGTGCCAATTGAAAAACTATTGTTCACTTTTCGAGTGTACGAGTTATCAAAGACTTTCATTCGAATGTTCGTTAGACGAAGAAAAACTCATTGATCGTAATCGAATGAACGATATTAATTCACGGACGGTGCAGTCGATAGAATTTGATCACGCATTTGAACTAACTGTAAGATTCTACATGTTAGGCGTAGAAGGTGCAAAATTATAATTTTGGTAGACTTTATACGCTATCGATTACTCGTCCCTTTAGAAAACAAAGATTCTAAATATCTCGATTAATACATTGCTTCTTTTTTTTTTTTTTTTACCCTAATGCGATCTTCAGTCTCATTATTATGCGGTGTGTAAACTATGCGGAATTTGTTAAACTATAAGACAGGTTTTGTTAATGGTCTTTTTGGCCATACATTCTTTTCTAGAATCTTTTCTTTAGCCTCCCATAGTTGAGTGAACTTCTCATTCAAAGGAGCAATGTACGTTTCTATCCACTCTTGTATAGTGTAATTGTCATATATGCTTTCCATAGCTGTTCTTATTTCTTTCTCAATATACATTATTTCCATTTTGTGTCTATCTAGTTCAGCAACTGCTCTCTCTACATAACTAGGATTTGAAAAGGAGTATTTTATATTGTATGGTTTCAACCATCCCTTAAATGTGTTATCTTGTTCCATTTTATTGACTTCTTGAGTCAAAGAATACAGCCGCAATGTAGCAGCATAAATAGATACACCGTGATAACTACATTTGGTCCAACCATATTGAGGTTCCGGAATACTTAAAGAAATGATGCCCTCGCACTGTAGTGCTTGTAATACTGACGTAGGTACTTCTACTGGGAATCTACATAAATCTGGAGCTTGCAGAATGGCTAGATTTACAGCAAGCGAGGGTATGGCAGAAGGTAGAAGTTCACAAAGCACGCTGAAATGATCGTATCTTTGCCACCCTGTTAAGATTGTACCTTTAAATGTAATTTGTGTAGAATATTTATTAATGATTTCTAACCAACGTTGATGGTTCTCCATATGATATCCAATATCAGTGTAATATCTGTCTGGAGCAGTGGCACCTTTAAAGGCAGTAGCAACCCAAATATTCTTCCAAATTGATGCGTAACTTTCCCATAATTGATCTGTCAACGACGCTCCAGGATCAGTGGTGTACTTCCAAACAACAGGCTCTACCATTAAATGCAAGCCTCTGTCAATTATTTCTTCTGATGATATTTCTCTAAATTCATCATCCCACATGAGAACAGTAAGTCCTGGATACTTGGTCTTTATATACTTTGCCACTTTTGAAACATGATCCAGGAATAACTGTTTCTTTCCCCATTGTCTTTTAACCATCATGTCTAAACATCTAGAGCATTCTCCTATTTGATACACTTCATCAGCACCAATGTGTAGGTGCTTTATGTCAGGATGTGCCTCTATTATTTGGTCTATCATTTCATAAATCAGTGGCAAAGTTTTGTTGTAAGTGGGACATAAAACTTGAGGATACTTAGAGACCTCTCTATAGTCTTTATATTGATCTAACTTAAGGACAAATTCCATATGACCAAAAGTTTGAATCAACGGTATGACCATAAGCTCGTTCTCGCTGGCTATTTTTTGAATGTTAGCGATATCCCGCTTGGTATAGCAATTACCTGCACTGATATTTTGTATTATTCCTTCAAAGGGAAACATATCCTCGTATTCTATAAGTATACCAGTGGCACCTAGTTTTTTGAGCAAATGTAGCAGGTACTTATAATAACTTGCCTTCGGAGGGCCACCTTTAAGATCTAAATGAACAATTTTATGACCCTTAAACAAGGGTGTCATTTCTGCGTGCGATCTTTCATAATTCAAGTCACTGAACAACTTTCCCCCACCGCTTTTCAATTTTCCCATTATGTGAGCCTCTATTTGCTGCTTCCTGGCAATATTAAGAGGATTCTCCGTGAGATCGCTCAATGGATAAACTTCTTCGATCTTAAATCGGGGATTTAATTTATTGGACTCGATATCCTTGACCTCATTACCGAGAATATGATAAATAACAATTAACAGGGTAAAACTGATCATTACAATGATCATCAAAGAGGCTCTGCCTCTTAGTCGCGTCATGATTGTCAGTCCAGCAGAACATCAAGATCGAGTCACTTTATTATTATCTCTGTTTAATCAAAGCTCTTGTTATTTTATGTATCACGATTTGATTGTTCGTCTCTATGAATATCGGCACTTGTGCGGGAACAATGTTGCTTCTAAGCTCGTGATCCAAGTTGAACTTACACAATATGGATTTATTATTACAAAATAATGTAATATTCTTTAATCAATCTCATTTGCAAAGAAAGTTTCTCTTCCTTATCACAGATTAATGATAGAAATGATAAATCATTGTTACTACTGTATAGTGATAAACGCCATCGAGAAGCAGGCTAGGCAACTGTCGATCGTATTCAGTGATAAACCTATCTAACGTATGCGAGATATTTTGTATTAATATATACATCCTATTCGATTGTTTAACTTCCGAATTAAATATCTGTATAATTTCACTTAAACGAGGAACTCAAGTGTCATAGGAACATTTCGGACTTAATAATCTGTATTTCTACGTGATTGGTTATCGAGAATGAGGGAAACATATCCCTAAAAACTGCGTCGTATTACGATCATAATATTACGTTTTGTACTACGCAAAACGTAATATTCGTCACGTTTACCTACTAATTACTGTCAATTTTACAAAATCATTTTGCAGTGAACAATTTATTCACAAAATAATCGACAGGTAATAAATTCGATTTTATAAACATCGTATCAATGTTTTTTTTTATATACTATATACGACTGTTGTGTAAAATGAAATAATACTTATGTGTTGGTGGGTTTTGCGCGAGAGATACATATTTATGGGAAATCAGGGTTGCCACTATCGCGCGCTTGACCTATAAATAACAGCTCGTCATTCTGCATCGAATTTATTCAACGAGGTCCAGCCTCGGAAGCACGATAATTTGCAACGATGTTGAAGGCAATAAGGCATGCCTGGCGCTCTGTTGCGTCGCAATCTCACTTCGTGTCTTCAGACGTTTCTCTTCTCGTTTATCGCCGAGAGTTACAAACAAACCGACGCGTTCGTCCAATTTATTGAGAAAATACGCGCATTGATTAAGCGCGTAAAATGCAAAACGAAGGGCTGCACGAAGCTAAGAGCGAAAATAGAATTCCCGTTCACGTTCAACGGGAAAAAGAATCAAAGACGAGCGAAACCGGAGAGGCTCACAGCCTCGTGTAATCGAATCCTTAGTAGCGAAATCTTAAATCCTAGTCCTTTATCTTGTTTCCAGTTTCCGCGAACTGCATGGCCACCCGTTACATACTTAATGAACGTGACTCACATCTCTTTAGTTATGACGAGAGTAGGGGAATAATTCTAGACAATAAAGCTATTTAATGATGGCCACTCTAAGAGAGTTTAAACCACGCGCTTGGGATAACGCGCGGTTTGCGATTTCAACTTATTGTAATCAATTTTATACCAAAATTGTAAACTTGCAATCTTTGATCGTTGCTTCTTTTATATAACCGGTACACGCGAATAGATTTGTCATTAAAAGTGTGGGAATAAAACGTCACAGAGAAGATCATTTTTTTCCAATAAGAAAGGCATGTACTTTCTAAATAAAATGTGAGAAACGGAGTGAAAAAATGCTTCTTTATGAATAACACACTGTAATATATACGGGACGTGGGAGAAAAAATATTTATCTTTCCGAAATAATGTGTATTATTGCCAGTGTGTGTGTTTGAGGAGAAAGTTGGATTTTGAATTGCGCCGTCTCTGCGCAGTAGATCCTTGACGCTGCGCAGCTTGCAATCAATAAACGTGTACGAAGGAATGGAAAGCTATCTCGGTGCAGCGATCTTCTTTCTAACATTTTAGGTATGAAAATAAACGTAACGATCGACGTAAATCATTTTCATGCGACGCGAACGAGCCTTCTTTGAAAACTCTATGATAAAAACGAGCTCACCGTACATATCTCCGACGCATTTTTGTCGACGACAGAAATGAAAAGAAAAAAAGGAAACACGCGAGCTCGTTCGTATCAGGCGAATCCGTTTTAATTCTCTCATCGGTTCGAGTCTCGGAGGCGTCGACGCGCCTTCATAGCAACCGAACCGAAACAAAGACTCGGTTTCAACGATTATTCAGAAATCATGACTCAAGTCTACGTATGTAGACAGTGTATCTATGTTTGTACAGTCTTTTTTTTTTCGCGGGAATGCATGCAGCTGCGTGACGGAAAAAACAAGCATATCGGAGGGGAATCGAGGAGATCATCGTATCGTTCAGCTAATGTATCTGACTTAGGCATTCGACAAGTGTATGATATTTGCATCTGCAATTAAGTCGCAACCCGAGAGGTTAAAACCCTGTGCGACGAAACGGAAGATCAACGAGCTCGCTCTCGAAGAAATATCTTCTTTATGATTTAATTGAACCTTGAAAGGGATCCTCGTAATTTTTATCAATCTGCGAGAAAAATTTATCACATTTGTAGCTCGAAGAGCATCGGAATCTGTTGTTCGTCGGGGTATGCGTAAAGTACACACTCGTTTATCGACGTTGATAACAAAAGTAAACGGTGGTGAGGAAATTCGGGAACTGTTTGAATTAGGCAATATTATTTTATCAGAGACAGAGTCGCGTATCCGTTACACGTTCTTTTGAAGAAAATCTCAATCAAGGACGTACTCACACGCTTCCGTTTCAAGATGCAACGATACACGTACATTTTCATTCTCGAGAATCTTTCACAGCTGACACCGGCGATGACGCGTTATTAAAGCAAACTGCTCGACGCACTGCGCAAAGAGCGACCAATTAGACGAGGAAACGTTTCTCCGTTGCTTTTATTGGCATCAAAGAAGCATCAGTGGACAGCTATGTTTGCTGGCACTTTACGTGGCAACAAGAACGATTAATGGATCGATCGAAGTGGCATAAATCTCGACGCGGCAACGAAAAACGCACGAAAAAAAAACCTTTTGCCTTTCGTGCAAAAGGGCGAAAGAAAGACAAAGGGGGAAAGAAATGGATCGTCCTTTTTATCCTTATTGAGCCAATTCAACCTTACCACCAATTGCATTTCTTTCGAAATGCATCGCTTCGGATTGTGTGTACACAAAAGAAATGTGGCGCGCGAGGCGCGATTTTTCGCTGACAATAAGAAAACCTTGCGGCCACTAACGCACACACACCGACGGCCTTTCATTAAAGGAAGGGCACGCACTCCCGAGCTCTTTCGAGTCGTCTGGAACCTCCTGAGATAACGTGACATTACGGTCAACCGTGCGAGCAGTATGCGCGTGAACGTCGAAGAACGCGCACCTTCTCTTTCCTCTTTTCCGTTATTCTTTATTTCCTCGCTCGTCGGCCTATAGTTCCATTGGAAAATCCCATCCCCCTCATTTAAATTCTTTTAAAGAATTCTCGTATTTCTCGTCGATTATCCAGCTTCTGAAAATGCAGTGACGTGCTCAATTGTGATATATCGATCGCTACATTGGTGTCAAACTTCGCAACTATAGATCGTAAGTTTCCAGCCGTGCTACTCCGTTTCTGTCTGTCTGTCTGTCTCTCTCTCTCTCTCTTTCTCTCTCAGCGTGTTTCCTCGTGTGCCTGGTAATTCGCTTGAAAAGCGACGTGAACGTAACCGTGAACGATCGATTTTTTCCCCTCTCGATCGTAGAAAGAATGCGGGAAATCGCGTCGAAACGAAAGTGCGCACGGTGCAAACGAACAACAGCGTTTGACAGCGTTCAACATCCACCAGCGTGAAACAGGAAAAGTGAAAGGACTTCATAGACTTCCCGTAGAGGCAATCTGGCACGTGATGCTGCCGTTAGTACGTGCAGCCGTAAAATTACCGGCTGTTTTCTTGACCGACTTCGCGCTCCTGGAAAACGTTGCGTCCTAACGTGCATTTCGTACGTTCGCGCGCACGGAAATCGGTTTCGCGTCCAGATCGGCGTCGAGCCAGAGGCGTGAACTCGGCTGTTCGTTTGCCAATCGACCGGTAAGTCGTAAATGGCAAAACGACGCCAACAAGGTGGCCAATTGAATTGCAAGTGGCATGTGCAACGCGCGGAAAAGTGCAACGATCTACGTGACCGTCGACCCGCCGTGTCGAAGCTTGCACAACACGACACGTTTCAAATTATCATTTCGTTCTTTCTCGACGTGCTACGTCCGCCACGACGTCGTTCGGCTGGCGAGACGCGGCACTTGAATTAAAAATAGTTGGACTCGGTGTAAAAACGCCAACGGAATCTTTGGTATTGCCACAGAACCGCGAGGACGGGACAGATTTCGCGGTACGCGGCAGATAAAACGTTCCCTGGAAGGGAAGATTCGTCATTTCCAACTTGAATTACTTGTAAACAATAGAATAAACGAGTGTTCGTCATTCGAATGCTTTTTCGAGTAATTCACCATCTTACTGATCTTTCGTTGTCGATATTCTTGATCGTTTGATTTAACGATAACGAGTTAGACCGATCGTGTCCGAGCGATAATATAATTGAGAACATTCTTGTCAGCTTCCGTGGCCAAGACACAAATGACGTAAGAATTTCCAAGTTTTCAATGGTAAACAGTCATTAACCCAAGCGTTATCCAAGGGTTACATCGTCACATCGAAACGTCAGACTTTCTAAAATGATGTGTCCGTCAGTGACGTCAACGAGCATCCTCGAACAACACTCACGCACACATTCCAACGAATTAACTCTCGAAACGTTTGCGGGAGATCTAGCTGACTCCCACGAAGCTCGACAACAACACGTGTCCTCGTAGCTTCGCGCCAGAGACGCCTCTTCGTCCGTCGTTTTCACACGTGACAGATAAAACGAAAGCTGGAAATAGAATAATAACGCGGAAATTTATTCGACGGTCGCATCTGCTTGACAGTTGATCCGCAACAATGATAGGGACCAATTGGACGATGACGTAAAATGTCAGAGGGATATACATTTAAAATTCGAGGAGTGACGAAGAAGCTCTGTCTGATTAGAATTGACATCGATAGTACATCGCGTTTCATCGATTCACGATCGATCGATGCGCGACGAAACTGCGACGAACTTGCGGCCGCGATATTAACAGCTTTGCGATAATCGTTTATTAACGAGAATCTCCGTACGAGAAACCGTAGACTCGGTTCGAAGCAACTCGGCTTCGCAATTACCGGTAACTTGATTCGGGATTCGCTGGACGTAAGACATTTATCATTTCCCGGTAAGTTCACGTGACGACTCGAAAAACACCTTATCTACCAGTACTGGGTACTTGAGGATTCACGGAATCGAGATTAGTCACGAATACATTTTGACAGAGAGCACGGCTATTTCTAACGCGCCTCGTGGCCGCGGGGGGTGCGACCAATACGCGTATTTTTAGAAAATGATGTTATTAACCCTTTACTGTTTAAATACACTTCGACAGAAGTATCGTCTCGTCTCGTTCGTTCGTTCGCCAAGACGGAGAAATATACATGTGGTGATATAATCATTGGTGGATTTAATGTATTTGAGAAATTTCTTCCACTCTGTGCAAATGAAGTTCGACGAGATAGAAAAGCGAAGCGAAGCTTCGTCACGAAAGCAAATGTATTCCCTGTTCACAGAGGCGACATGAATAAAACGGAACTGAACATCGTCTTGGGCACCGAGCCGGCGAGGACATCCTCGAGCGTAATTCACTCGCACATTCCGGTGCCGAGGATATCGAATGCAATTAAAGCCCAAGAAAGGTGTCCCCCGTCCCGCAGGGGTTCCTTCGAGAAGCTGTCTAGAGGAGTGTCGGTGGCCGCTCAAAGGGCGTCCTTCGAGAAGCTCGACGCTTCCGTTCAGCAGCAACGATCAAGGAACAATAATTTGTCGAGCTCGAGCATCGAGATGCGGAACACCGAGACTGAGAAACTCGCTCTCCAGACTGCGACTGCTAACTGTAAGACGAACGAGCCGGTCGCCGTGGCGAAATTGAACAGGAGCAATAGCCTGGAGAGCAAGTGGAAGAACAAATACGAGGAGTCGGAGAAGAGGAGGAAATTGTTGCTACAGAAGAGCGAGGCCGGTAATTAATAATTAGTAATAAGTTTCGCGGCGTAATGAGCGTTTGTATGGGGCCGCCTAAAGTCGTTAGAGAACTTTATTATGATTCCATTAGTCATCATTAACGAAGTGACGAAACACGGCTTCTTCCCTCCGCTTGCGAGCATTAATTTGATTAAACAGCTGGGACAGCAATGGGGGGGAGGGGTTGGTAAATACGGGGAACGGCGCCGATTGTACCTACAACTTCCCTTCCGCCCGTTTTTCCGGAATTTCCCTCTTTTCCTTACTCTTTAATTTTGTTTTTCACTTTCAACGGATCGATTCGAACGACGATGAAGCTAGTAGTCACTTGCATCTCTTCGAATCGATTGATTTGTTGTTCGTCGCGGGAAGGATCAAGGTGTAATGGACTTATGTAAAATAAGAGCAACAGACACGTATAGCGAGAGGGAAGTGGCTGACGCGTGATTGTAGTTCACGGCCAATCATCCGTAATGCAACGTTAATCGTTATTCGGTCGTGATTCACTCCTGCATGCAAAATGAATTCTGCGACGTTTTCTTAGTCACTGGCCATACGCGATGGAATTACAAATTAATCGTAATAAAATATCGCCTGTAGTATCGGGAGTGTATTTGCAATTAAACTGTCAAAAATATACGTAATTTTTACAGCGTGCAAAGAACATGCCGATTTGGAGAGGAAATGCCAACAGCTGCAGAAACAAAATAGCACTTTGCAGTCGCAAGTGCAAGAAAAAGAACAGAAACTTCAAAAGTTGCGGACAGGTAATTATTTTATAATTACACAAAATGTTTTAAAACTTCGTCATTTGTTTGTTTGACGAATTCTTGAATTTCTTTACAGTTTCCGAAGCGGTGTGCAAAGAGTACGAGCAATTGAAACATCAGTATGACACTGAAACAAGTGCCATGCACAAAGCTATGCAACAAGCGTCGCAGGTAAATGCGAGATATTCACTTTTTATTCGATATTGCACGAAATCTCGCAATTACGCGAAAATGAAAATTACTTCCAGTGGTACAGACAGAATCGCGAATTGAAGAGAAGATCGCAGATCATAACTCAGAAGTTGCTACAATCGAATCCGGAGGGTTCGCTGGATCTTGAGATACCAGACGAGGTCGACTCGAATTTCGAAGATCTTGATCAGCTGAGAGAAACGGTGAAAGGTACAAACGCGAGATTCATCGCTTATGGTTTCACCGTTAATTATGCAAGGTACTTATGAGAGTGGCTAATTTACAGAATTAAGCAAAGAGATAGCGAGGCTTCAGACGGAGTTGCATTCCGCTCGCCTTCAAGAGTTCGAAGCCCAAGAGCAGGTGACACATTTGACCACGCAATTGGACGAGGAGAGGACACTCCGGCAAAAATGTAATTAAAAACACCTGCACGATCCTCCGATGTTCGTCGAATCGAGATAATTTAATCATGAAATTTATCAACTAGGTGAAGAGAAGGTCAATGAAATGAAGGTGCAAAAAGAAAATATGGAAAGAGTGACGAAGATGGTTGCGGAGGAGGTACAAGCGTTGAAGGCGCAATGCGATCGCGAGAGAGAAAACGCCAAGATTATGAAGATAGAAGCCGAAAGGGTAAAATGTCTTTAACTTAAAATGCCTAATTGATTATGTCATTAGACATTGGGGACTGTAACAATTTGCAACTTTCAGTTACTTATTGTTTATAAAAATCGAATATTACCAGAATTGTTGACACGTGTCGTAAATACTTTCAACAGGTACAAAAAGAAAGAAACGTGCTGGCTCATCAGAGCGCACTCCTGATGGCGGAAGTTGGCGATGACCCTAATGGAAGATTATTAACCGTCCTTCAAGAGGTGGAGTCTTTGAAGAGATTATTGGAAGAAGAGCAACAGAGCCACGCTTCTCACATACAAATGTTGGAGGAGAAATTAGAAGAGAAAGAGTCGAACGTCGAGTTCGAAATTGTGGAGGAAAAGTTAAAGCTGGCCGAGTCGGAGCTGGAAGTTGTAACGCAAAGGGCGGAAAGGGCAGAGAAGTCGGTGGAAACTCTGGAAGGAGTAGTTCAAAGTTTGAAGGCGAAAATCAGTGAACTGGAAGAGAAGCTTTCCAGGCCGCCGCCGCCCCCTTTGCCTCCACCTCCGCCGCCGCCGATGTTCAACAACGGTGGACAATCGACGATAAAGTTGCTGACAAAGGAAAAAATAAATTCTGAACGAAACGCGGTGACCGACATGGAGAATATGCTTGGAATTACGAAAAAAACGCCAACGGTTGCGCAACAACCTGGTAATTATGTTTTAGATTTTGCAACTGGTTAAGTAATTGCGACAAAACATCGCGCGTTCGACGTATAATTTTTACTTTCTCGTTTTTCAGCTATCGATGATATTATCAATCAGATAAAAGGTGGACGTTTCACGTTGAAGCAAACGGATGTATGTCTCTTTTTTTTGTATTCGTGGAAATGACTCTTTCGCGAAAGTTACGTTTCTTCGAAGTAAAAAGTGATTTGTTGCAGAAACAAAGGGAAGAGGAAAGAAAAAGACGACAAGAAGCGGAGAATGCGCCGCCTGCTGTCTCGGAAATGTTAAATATTTTAGGTACCATGAGAAGAAGAGCCAAACCGATAAAGCAGTCGTTAAAATCAACAGATTCACCGACATAAAGATAGATGTTTTAGTAAACGCAAAAAACTCGTGTCTAAGTTTCGAAAATAAGTTACGTATCATTGTTGAGACATTAATCGCGGTACGTAATTTTTTTTAAAGTAAAGATCTGTTCTATGAGAATACTGTTTATATTATTTATTTACTCGAAAAATAAATTTTTTTACCACTGAACATAATATGTAAATTGACAGTTTTTAAAAAATATAAAGTGAATATGAATAAGTGATGGAAGACAGATTGCAGTAAGCAGTATGAAAAGGTTTATTATATTATATAAAAAGCTGATTACATTTACTGTAAAATACAATGTCCATTGTACAGTAGATTGTCAAAGAAATTATCTTTGAAAAGCGTATATCTTCCTTTAATATACAAAAGGAAGGATTTTCTTTTTTTCAGGAATATGAAATAAATTAATACAAGTTTTTCAGATTGATTAAGAAATCTGTTTTTTTATTTTGTTAATAATTGGTTGCAATTTGGTAGCTTCAAATAGAAGCACTCTCCTGTAAGGTGTCATTTCATCATCTGACTCGGTCCATGTTCCAGACAACGCACTATCCGACTCTTTCTCAACTGAAAATTCAAAACTGACTGTTGCCTCTTCAGCAAAAATTTCTTCCTCTGGATTGCTCCACAGAATAGATGGTTTTTCTGTATTATTTTTCTTTTTCTGTTTCAATTTTTTGTCTGGTTTTACGTTTTCCATTTTGTAGAGTTTACAGATTAATATGTAGTATGAAAAGTTGAAGGGCATCTTTTTGGTGTTTGCTCTTTTTACGTCAGAAATTAAATTTTCCAGAAGTGGTACAGATATTTGAGCTGGGATATTTACAAATCTTTCATTAATTAATAAACCTAATACTTCTGCATCATCTTCAAGAACATGTTTTATCATTGTATTTGCTGCATCTGTTGCATGTTCATTTGCCATTTGTCTTAATAATTCTCTGAGTTGTTGTACGCAAGGATAATTCTGAAATAAAGATGCTCGTTATGACTTACTCTGCATGACTTTTGTATTAATTAAATAACACAATATATTTACCTGTTTAGAAGATAAATTAATTACTGTAGTAATACCAAATACATCATTGATATCAGTATCTTCATCGTCAGATTCGTCTAAATCTGCTGACTGCTTAACAACTGAACCCACATGGTTTTTGCTGATAATTAAATCTGTCAGACTACCTAAATCAATATGAGCTTTCAAAAACAGTTGTTGCAATAAAGTTTTAATGCCATGATAATCCGGATCCACTGGATATCTTCCTTCAAAGTCCACCTGGATTTCCATTCCCTGGTTGAAAGAATTCTATATTTTAACCATTATTAATATTTAATATTCACACAATATTTTCATTGTAACAGATTAATCGTAAAATATGAAATTTAAAAACATTTACTTAACTTAATTACAGAATACGATTCAAAAAGATTCACATTTTCTCTTCAAACATAACTTTTATCACAAATTAAAAATGTCTTTGTCTTACTCGTACAAAACTGTTAACAATAACGCCTCTAATTAACACTTTGTTGATTACGACATGTTGTACCAATGATTCTCACAATCATTAAAAATTATAAATTTTACGCATTACGCATATCCGCTTAGTTATTATATTTTATTTTCGATGAATATCAAATATTATCAAAGACAATTCTCAAACAAATGCAAATCAATGGCCGCGTGGTCAAAAGTAGGGTTAAGATCCAAGACCAAGAACATTTTATACTGATTTTTCTAAATTACTTACCTGTTCTACCTGTTCTTTCTCGTTATCCTCATTGCCTGATGAACTTTGGTCATCATCGTCGGGGAATTCGAAATTCCGCTGAATTTCACGTTTCTTGACCGGAGCAGCCATTGTCACAGACTGCTGCTTCTGCTGACTTTAGATCACGTGACGTGCTATTGCGATTGTTTTCGAGATTATTAAAAGTAACTAATCGATATTTATTTGTTCAAACATGAATTGTCTATTTACATTTATTAAAGAAACAACAATAAATATTTCTGTTTACTTTTAACAAATGTAAATTACGTGTTGCATTATAATGTAAAAAATATTTATAACATATCAAAATATTTAAAATATAAAATAGCACGAATTTTTTAGTACTTGCCAACAAATATAAATAATTCATATAACATTGCAGTATTGTAATGTGATAATCAAATAAAATACTTCTTTTTGTGTATATTAAATATAAACTTTAATGTAAAATACACAGTTTAATTAGTTCCAACATCTGTCGACAGATGTCGCATCATGCACACTTTCTTCACCGCGCGACGTCAGCAATCAGTCACGGCTCATTTAGTGCGTGGGCATGTTGTGTTTAGTGTCGGGCTGATTTTACAAGTTTTTCCCCTACAAAGGAGATGGCTTCAGGCGAGAAGAAAAGGTAAGCGAACTTAAAAGACCGTGTCATTTGTGCCAAAAAGACATCGATTAATTTAATGTACAAAAAACGAAACGCCTTTCGCGATCACACCGAGAATCGTAAATTTCGTATCCACCGCTGTGTCGCCATTTGTCATGCGCTTCAAACACACCGCGCAAGCGAACTGTTTCCTTTTCTCTTTCTCTCTTTTCTTTTTTTAATAAAAGCCTTGCCATTTCGCCGTTTGTCACGTTGAAAATTTAATCACGGCAAAGAGCAATCTACGTAATGCCACTTGGGAAAGCTCTCCCGGATCGTTCCTGTCGCACGCGTTCGATTGGTTTCGACGTGGCGGGAGGACGATGTTTGAATTTCGAACGCTGGCTCGCGTTCAGTGAGGCGAAAACGCGTCCGTTGTCGGCACTGCGAGCCAAAATTCGATTAAAGTTCTTGCGCATGGGCCGAAGGAAATCCTGTTTTCTCAAATTTCCCGGAGTCTGTCAGGTGGCACCACGGCGTTCACCGGTCCGGGTACATCGCATCGTACAATACGGAGCAGTGCGATCGCTTTTTGTAGGTTATAAAACACACGGGAGCCTATAACCGTACATCCCCGAGACGTCATAGAGTAAAATATTCGCGCGAAAGGGAAGAAAAAAAAGAAAAAAAAGAAAAGAAAGATAGACGACGGTGGCCCTTTCTATCGTGAACTCCCCCGTGAATATTTCGTGAGTGCTTTGAGCTGTGGCGGGCGGTGAGATGGCTGTCTCTCTTTCTCTCTCTCTCTCTCTCTCTCTCTGTCTCTCTCTCTTCTAGTACCTGTATTTCTATATATCTGTCTCTGTTTCTTTCTATTTATCTGGTGTTTTTATAGATGTTCGGCTGAATAGATGTCTCGAACACTGTACCATTCCCCCTTTCGCGATTGTACCTCGTGATACGTATACAACGTGTATATATATGTCGTGTATCGATGTACACAATGCCTCGATGCATTAAGGACCAGCTCGATTATCGGCTATGTACAATTGGAAGTAAATAATTTCGAAACGAAATTTTACGGGACGCGAAAGAACCATAACGTCCAGCATCTTTCTCTTACGTTTCCTATCATTAATATCTTCTTTTTCACAGTAACTGTAACATTAATTGATCGGCTTTTTCGTGAGAAAAAAAAAAATCACATCAAAAACGAGTAGATAATTTAACAAATGTTTCTCATAGAAATCACGTTCAATTTTATTCTAAAGTGTATATTTAACATACGTTTCGCGTGGTTTTTGTTATGCAATACATACTTTATCCTTCTTTGGTACTAGCAATTAATCTTATTGTTTGGGAAAGAAGTAATAAAAAAAAAAAAAAATAAAGTGTCTCGTAACATTAGTCTTTTCTTCTCTCGCAAGTGTCTCGTTGAAATTATTCGTCAAGCGGAAAAATTGAGCTACACTTAGACACCGGGCTACCCTGTATATACCATACGTGTACACGACTGCAATGTTTTTTCGTTCCTTGGCTGTTCGGTGTCTTTTGTTTTTTTTTTTTTTTTTTCTTAGCGCTGTTCCATAGCATATAGCTGTCTCACCTGCCTTGATCTGTACTACCTCTGCGTTTCGTTTTTACCCAGTGCCTCCTCTCGCGAGATACGCGTCCCCGAAATGGAAGTTTCTCAACCACCGCCGAACGACATCGTTCTCTCGCATTCTCCTTTTCTTCGATCCATTCTTCGAGCTACGTCTCCGCGATATTATGACAGACGAGACCTTTCTGTAGAGACGGGCCGCGGCATAACACGGAGGCCGAGAATTCGCGAGATGATCAAAAGACGAAAATTGAAAATGAACTGTTCCGCGTGTATAACGGGCGCGGACGTGAGATCTCGTTAAATGGAGGCGATCGAACGCGATTGTCGATTAATTGCGCTATTCCTCCCCCTGTTCTCTAATTCGATAGCCTGCTACTGATAACACGCAAACCACCGTGTCCCGTTTGATACAGTGGAGACGTATAAAGGAAACCGAGTACACGTTTTCACGGTTGATAGGCACAGGCCATAGATGATATTATCATCTCGTTAGCCCGGCGAATTTCGTTTATTGATTTCCCCTCGCCGTTTTCTCTCTCGGAGAACGGGGCCTTTAAGACGACGTGTCACGAAATTACAGTTGACGATTCAGCTTTGTCCTTGTCTGGATGTTCCATCGGGGACGGACGTAAATCGCAAATGGATACGGGGCAGAATTTGGATAACACACCGCGGAACAGTTATATAATCGTTTATTGATTTTACGTGATTTCGAGTGTGCTACCCTAGACTGTTCTCTACTATCGCGCTATTTTGTCGTGCCAATTCTGCTCACGCATATTTCAGATGCGATAGCCGTTGCACGACACGTAGACGACATGTTTCTTGTTTTTTTTTTCGTTTCATTGAAATACGTTTCGTCGCAATATGAGACAATAACAACTGCACTGATTACGACGGCAAATGAATAAAAACAGTCGCGTATCGGAATCGCGAGCAAAACGATCGTGTCTGTCGAATGTAAAAACGTAGCGAGCGGTTCTTGCGGTACGGTACGGCAAGGCGTTACTCGCTTTTTCCCCGGGAGGTGGGAATTACAGAGCGAAACGAATGAAATTAAGCCATATGGTTATATCGCTGGGGTGTGCTCGACCCGATGCGCGGCGCAACTGGTTGATTTATCGGTGCTTTCGCGTAGCGAAAACTAGCAAGGAGGCCGAATTGGATTACGCTGCGTGCACAAATTGCTTTATTCAAATGCAATTTAGGGGTCGCGCGTCTTTCGCAGACTGCGAAAGGAGAGTTTAAAGAATTGTGTTAGGATCTCACGTATACATACATTGTCCTATTTATTGATTTTCTCTCTCTCTCTCTCTCTCTCTCTCGTATCTTTTTCTCTTTTCCCTCTCGAAGAACCTTGACTTTAAGTGATTTAGCGAAAAAAAGGAAAAAAACTGAATCGCAATTTTATATTTTCGCGATGATGATTGAGAAACCTGGAACCCAGATAAAAAATTATTTTACCTCGTTTAAGTACTGCAAGAAGTTTTTTTAGTACTTTATATGTTTTTGCATTCTTACCGCCAAACTTTTCATAAATATATAAAAATATTTAGTCTAGTAACAATTTCCTAGATCGGCCAGTTATTCTTCTGACTCTGTGCGTTCTGTCGCAAGTCCGAATTTTGAATTCGAGGGGAAATCGTATCGCGTTCACGATCGAACGTGCGACAAATTTGTAGAAAATCAGGACGGGTTAATCGACTTTGGTCGACAGGCACGTCAAAGCGTTTGTGGCCCTTTCCTGCTTGACCTTTCGAAACGGTAACGTAGGTGGACATTAATATCGTATCTCTGGCCGGACGTCAATGCTTCTTCTTCTCCTACCTCGCCTTCTCCTTTCAATGGAAAGAATCGAAGCTGATTATATCGCGGTGCATCGGCAGATGTCAGAATATCTAGGGGCCGTGTAGGTGAATCTTTCTGCCATTGAAACAAGCTTCTCGTCGGCCGGATCAAACATATTATGTAAATTCGATCGAACGTTTTTCCATCACTGCGGAAAGAATGCGGCAAACGACGCAACGGCTTATCAATTTGACGGATGAATGTCGTCAAGTTGCGTGGATTATTGAAGATTTATCATTCAGTTTGGCAAAGTCACGAGTCAATTCTTATCGAATCTAGACACTCCGATCTGTTCAAAGGGACGCGTTAATATAGGAAACGTTTCATTGGCAATTTTTTGTTTCGATCAATTTACCGGCAAACTTTATATTTCATAGTATTGAAGCTATGAAGTAGTTTGCTTAATATCTTTTCGTTGTTACGTCTTTCATCTGGATTTTTTTTCAAGATAAATTAATCGTTTAATCACGGTTCAGGTTTCAAATATCCACTAGGATGTCAAACAGTGATTCGAGGCTTCTTCACTTTTAAATTTTTCCGCACTGCTCATCGAATTTATCGAAAGGTGTGTTTTTTCTTTTTTTTTTAAGAAAGGATCCGATCCGAATGTTTCGATTCTTGAAAAATGCAGTGGCAACGAAAAGTAGACAAAGAAAATAGTATCTTGACTTTGAATACTTGCGCAATTACTCGAGGATACCAAGCCAACCAAAATATCGTCTTTCTATGTTACGCTTCTGTACTCCCTGTAGGGAAGATTCGCGTGGCAAAAGCTTCTTAGAGTAACTAAGATTCTTACGATTCAACAGGAAATCAAGCTCTCCCCTCCCTCCCCCTCACGGCTCGAACATTGTGCAACTTCTCTTTGAATTTCACTGTCAACTACTTGGCGGAGGGACGATATTATTTACTTGCAGCACGAATTATCCAAGCGGCGATTTCTCTCATTCGGAGAGCCAACGATTCAACCATCTTGAATTATCTGCCCGTTAAAGTTGGATAAAGAGAGCCGAAGTCGCGAGAAACTAACCTCTCTCCGCGATTAAAATGGTAAATTCATTTCGATTAAAAGTAGTCTTCTTTCATTTTCGACGAATAA